GTTTCAACCACGGCGTCCCCGGACCGTTTCTCTCTACTTAGAGAGCTAGAAAGCTAGAAAGCTGCCTTAGAGAGAAAGAAAACAGGCTGCAAAAAGGAAAAAAAAAAGAAAAACCTGGTCGAGCGATTCGAGCAAATTTCGCGTACGGTTTTGTTCCTCGATGATGGGAGTTCGAACGGGCAACTTTTCCCCTCTCTGTATATGCTCGCGATCACACACACACACACACACACACACACACACACACACACACACACACACGGTCGAGATAATAAAAACGACCGGTCGAATAAAGTTTTTATCGGCTTGTTAATTTTCGCGTCGGCCGCGGCAACCCAGGCGCACGCGATTCGCTTTTGAAACTATTTCTCTCCCGCTTATCATTGTTCCTTTCGCGCCGTATCCCCCACGAGGGACTAATGTTATTTATTCCGGAGAGCGTGGAAAAAAAAAAAAAAAAAGGAAAGGAAAGGGAAAAAAAATAGGTTGACACACAAATGCCTATGCCCGTTCCGCGTAAACACGCACAATGCACGTACACGCATACGTGCACGATGTGTTTTATATATATATATATATGAATGTGTATGCATGTGTATGTACACCCGTGGCGCGCATCGGCGGCCGGGTAAAATCTGAACGCGAATTGAACGTGCAGGTGTCCGTAAATAAACTCGTTGCATCGAGTTTGTTGCGGCGAACCGTTGGAACGTGAAGGGTGGTTACGCTTTCGCGGCTTGCTCACCCGCTACAAAGCCGGTGTGTGTGTGTGTGTGTATGTGTGTGTGTGTGTGTGTGTGTCCCGTGGACCCGGGGATTTTTATTTCGCGAAACTGTTTAGCCCGGGTCCCGACGCCTCCGCTCCGGGAATATCGTTTACATAATTACAACGAGCAAGCCCGGCAAGCGCTGCAACCGGAAGAACCGCTCTTCCGTAGCCTGCGTGCAGCATCGCGTACACACATCGCCTGCGGCCCCCTTGACGCAACAACGAAAGGAAGAGGAAACGGGTTATTTTTAAGCCCAGAAACCTTAACTTGCCCGCGATCGTTAAAAGGTTATAGGTTTCCATTCGATCGTTGGAAGCAAGTTTTTCCGCAAAAACTGAAGTCAATTTCGCAAACGCTTCAGCTTTGGTGATGATGAAATGATCGGCACGTTTCGATCGATTCTGAAAAATCTCCACCAACAGATTTTCGATGATTTTCTAATCGAGAATAATAATCAACTGTCTGCTTTCCGTGAAACATAGACAGAGAAAGAGCAACGATCACTGGCTGGAAGGTGGTTTGCTCGGGGACGAAACGGAAGTTAACCGGACGCGGTTGAAACGCTGGCGATTGCGGGAGAGCGTCTTCATCCCGGAGGGAAAGTATACAGGAAAACGACGACGGTGGCTATAGAAAGCCGAGCGGTCGCGTAACTCGAAACTTTCGCGAGCTTAGGGTTCGATTCTAACCCTCTCTCTCTTTCCTATACACACTAACCGTGTGTACGCGTGTTGAGTTGGCCTTCTGGCATTGGACCAATGACATGTTGTTCGATTCATTTTATAAGGGGGAGAGACAGGCCAGCCAGTTTCTACGTGGACTGTTTCCAATAGGCGGCGATTCGATCGTTGGTAGATAGAAAGAAGAAGAAGAGAAAGAATTGATTCGATGTTTAGCATATTGGAGGATGCTCGACGTGCCTCGAATGGATAAAATGGCGGAGGCATTGGCTCGGTTATGAGCCGGCCACCTAGACGCTCGCGCTATTTTCCATCGTTTTCTCTTTCCTTCTTTTATCTTTGCCCGGTCGCTGTCGAGCTGCTTAAGTATCTATCGGACGGATAGTTATTATCTCGTTGATCGCGGCGGCGAGCGGCGAGGAGAATCGGCAGGGAAATACGGCAATGAGAATACGAAATTCACGAAGGGAACGTGCGGATGTGCGCTTAATGTATAATTTAATAACTCTATAAACGTGCATGTACCACGATATTGATTCGCTGATGGTAATCAATATTAAGAATATACCGTTTGTGGCGATCCCATTTTCCTTCGTTTACGTTACGGTACTACCTATTTTATTACGGTGCCGTGGCTTTCTCTCTCTCTCTCTCTCTCTCTCTCTCTCTCTCTCTCTCTCTCTCTCTGTTGTGCGTAAGCTGGATTTCAGTTACTTTTCTTAGAGCTTGCGCCTGTAATTTGCGAACCGTAATCTCGGATAATTTGAATCAGGCCCTGGGAACGGAGAGCACAGCGCGATCTCTCCATCTTACAAAGGGCATAATTTTCTCTCCAGCGTATAGCACGTCGCTGAAAGTAACAGCACGACGTATGAAACACATGTATGAAAAAGAATCTTATTTGAGATGATTAAACCTCTTGAACCCGCGCTGAAACGACGTGCCACGCACGTCGAGAATTCTTTGTTCGAAAATTGTAATATTTTCTCAGTTTCAAGTACGTTCAACTAAAACAAAATAGGCAAAACAAATAATAAATTTATTACTAATAATTTCTAATACTAATACTTAATAATACTATTAATACTAATAATAGTACTTCTAATAATAATAATACTTTTAATTAATTTAATACTAGTTTAATTTAATTTAACTTAATAATAATACTTCTGATACTATTAATAATACTTAATTTAATTTATAATTATTAATAGTATTTCTGATACTATTAATAATACTTAATTTAATTTACTTTATAATAATACTTCTGATACTATTAATAATACTTAATACTACTATATATAATACTAATAATACTTCTGATACTATTAATAATACTTAATTTAATTTAATAATAATAATACTTCTGATACTATTAATAATACTTAATTTAATTTAATAATAATACTTCTGATACTATCAATAATACTTAATACTATTCTATATACTTCTGATACTATAATACTAATAATACTTCTGATACTATTAATAATACTTCTATCCATTGGTATCATACCGACGAGTTCAAAAAGAAAGCGACGAATTATTGTATACGTTTCGGTCACTCGTTACGGTCCGCAATCAATTGCCAGCGCAAGTGGTTAACCTCTTGCCACGCACGTCGAGAATTCTTTGTTCCAAAATTGTAATATTTTCTCAGTTTTAAGTAAAACAAAATAGGCAAAACAAATAATAATTAATTTATTACTCAGTAATTTCTAATCCAGTGATATGCCGACGGCTCTTCAAGAAGAAAGCGACGAATTATTGTGTACGGTTCGGTCACTCGTTACGGTCCGCAATCAATTGCCAAGTGGTTGAAGACACGAGGAAATCGCTTCCTTTGTTCCTTCGTTTATTTATCACGTTACCCGTTAAACGTGATCAGATGTCGTTCGCAAATCTGCGAAATTGTTTGATACACGCGTAAAATCAGTTGTCAGCCCCACGCGCAGCATGCAGTGTCGTGTAAACGCCCCGTGTTTATTTTCAACGAAATTACATTCTAAATATGATAAACGTCAAACAAAGTCTCTGGCGGCAAAGAATTATGTTGCAAAAACAACGCGTCTCCCCGTCGCACAGGACGTTCCCCGTTTCTCTCAATCTATGTTACAACGAGTATTTCTTATTAATTTCTCCTCGGTATTTCTAATTAATTTCCAAGTCTCGTTTCACGTGAAACGTTTGATAACATCCCTTAATTAGATCCCCGTTGTTTTACAAATCGGGAGCGAACTTACTTCGACACTGCGAACAGAGTTTCTACGAGAAATTTTTTGCCACGCGAGTTTCCCTGAATATTCATTTCGAAATGGATAAGCCGGAGAATCTAGTTGGAGATCTACGATCTGCGGACAACGTACAACGCGCGAGGCTCATTTGGAAATTGTATCTACCGCTCGGGAGAGCCATCATTTTTGCTTTCTAGTAATTCGCCTTTCGCTTATCTTTGGCGGCAGGTGCTCGAAACGGCCGTCGTACGTTACATTTTAACAAGCCTTATTCTTTCGACACGTCCAAACCGTTATACCGGAATTCGCCGGCGGCCTTGTTTAATTCGTTCTCGCGCGTTTGATTATAAACGAGGGCTGCTGCGGATAACGAGCCTGAAATAGGTCAACGGGGCTCTGACAGTCTAATGAATTCTCGAATTAGAAAACAAGCGAGTTGTATGCAGAAGTATGGAAGTACATATTCGATATATAATATTTCCCTTTGATATTTGCAAAAATTTCCCTCCACTCGTCCTCTCTTTCATCAGAGGGGATGATTCCGAAACAAAGTGCTCGGTCGGGTCTCGTTTCGTTTATTTCTCTTTCGTTAATTAGCTGAAAATATGGCCCTTCTTAATAACTACTTAAGGAAATTACGCGGAACTTATCGGAGACAGGGAAAGTCCTTCGAGCTTCGTTTCGTTTCTTCCACGAATCTCACGAAAAGGGAAAAAAAACAACGACTCGTTTCGAATTTACGACGCCTGGCCTGGTGCTTTCACGTGCTTCTCGTACTTTGCCAGCTTGGACAACGCTGGGGCCGAAAGAAAAAAGGAAAAAAAAGGCGCAAACGCCCTCGTTTAAATTACGTGTACAAACACGTTAGGGGCTTGATTGAGCCGGAGATACTTCGAAGCGAAATTCTTCCCTTTTTTTCCCCCCCTCTCACTTTTTGCTCGCGATCTCGCGAACGTCAATTAGCAATTTAAATTTTAGACTCTCTTCTCAGGCGGTGGAACAGGAGGATACGGAGATACGGAAGATAAACGCGAAAGCATGCGCCGTTTCTTCGCCAGAGTGCCGAAGTAAATTACCGGTAACCGTTGCTGCACCTACCTGTTTGCAGCGTTTGCGAATTTACTTTTGTTAAGTGTTTTAAATTCACCGTCCGCTCCGTTTTCTAATGGAGTTAACCCGTTTGTCTCGCTCCGTCGATAGAAACGATAAAATTTTTAACGAACGAACGAACGAACGAACGTTAGTAGCTTCGCGTTCAGATCCACGCACAAGTTTTAACATTTGATCCACTGACGCATCTGGTTGAAATGTTGCAGGGTAGTTGCAGTCGAGGAGGAGTTCATATGGAATGGCATCGCGTGGACCGTCGACGACGACGCTGCCAATCGCGATAGCGATGGCCGTCGCGATGTCAGTGATGGCGAACGGTCTTTGCCCGACGCAGTGCCGCTGCGACGACGAGAGCCTGTACGCGTCGTGCGCTTACGCGGGCCTCGAGGTCGTCCCGATCCAGTTGAACCCGGAGATCAGACACTTGGACCTGTCCAACAACCGCGTCGGCAGCATTCACCTGACGTTCGGTTTCTACGGTAACCTGGAGATCCTCGATCTCACGTCGAACGCGATACACACGCTCGGCTCGGACAACTTCGTCTTCCAAAAGAACCTGGTCACGTTGAACGTGAGCGGGAACGCGGTGAAAGCGCTGGCCAAGAACTCGCTGCAGGGCCTCGACTCGTTGAGAGAGCTGAACCTGGCCAGCAACAACATCTCCGACATGGACGAGCAAGCGTTCAAAGCCACCAGCGAGCTGGAGGTGTTGAATCTCAGCGATAACTCCATCACCAGCCTGCCGGAAGGTTTGCTCAAGTATCTGCACAAAATACGCACGTTGATCTTGAACGGTAACTTTCTGCTCGAGATACCCACCGAGAATTTGGCACTGGCACCGAGCCTGGAGAACGTCGACCTGTCCGACAATCTGATCCAGGAGCTGGACAGAGACTCGTTGCCGTCGTTGCCCTCGTTGGTCTCGTTGAACCTGGCCAACAACGTCATCAGGAACATCGCCGACGACGCGTTCGACCGACTGCCAGACTTGCTGCACTTGGACCTGTCCGGGAACAACCTGACGTCGGTACCAACGTCCGCTCTCGCCAGATTGAACGTCCTGTCGAGCTTAATTCTCAGCCGTAATCCGCTTGGCGCGCTGGATGCCGGCGGATTCCGCGACCTGTTCGAGCTGAGGAGCCTGGAGTTGAACGACTGCACGATCGTTAGCGTGCACGCGCGAGCATTCGCCGACAACGTGAACCTCGAGCGGATCTCGTTGGATGGTAATCGAGGCTTGAAGGAACTGCCGGCGAGGGTCCTCTACGGCGCCAGATATCTGAAATGGGTCTCGCTGCGCCGATGCAGTCTGTCGACCCTGCAGCCCACGCAATTCCCGGTGGACGGGCTGTCGTCTCTCCGCGTCGGCGGCAATCCGCTGGTCTGCAACTGCTCGGTGCACTGGCTGTGGAACGTTATCAGGGCGGAAGAGCGTCGGAACGACTCGAGGCTCGAGCTGGATACCCACGATATCATCTGCACCGACGAGGAATTCGCCGGGAAGGCCCTAATCGCTCTAACGGAGGGTTCGCTGCGATGTCGGCTGAGCCCTCTCTATCTGTCGTTGTCAGCGGCCGGTTGTCTAGCCGCAACGGCGACCATACTGGCGCTGATAGCGCATCTGACGCGGTCCAAGAGGAAGAAACGTCTGGCGTACGCGGCGCCCAATCGGCCGGAATTCCTCGTCTACGTCGGCAGGAACAACGACGAGCTGGACAAGAACGGAGCGGAATCGTACAGCAGGCGTCTGCTGACTCGGAACGAGGACACGCCGTACGACACGCCGCGCGCCAAGCCAGGACAGAGGAGCCCCCCCAATACCGTGCAGTCGCAGGACGCCAACATCTACGAGACGCCTAGGTACGCGAGACCGGCGAGCAATCGTCGGGAAACCGGCGGCAATCCGACGTTTGCGAGGCAGCAGGAAGAGGGTGTGTACGCGGTGGCTGACGTGACCGATCTTCGCGACGAGCCACCGGAAGTGTTGTCGCTCTATCGGATGCAGAGCCCCGCCACTCCCAGATCGAACGTTCAACGGCTGGATTACGGTTACGACTACGAGTACGATTACGATTACGAGTCACCGATTCCGCAGAAACCTCACGTGGTGTTCGTTTGAGGGAACTCGGCTAGCTACCGCTCGGCGGTCGAAATGCGCTGGTGAACACGGAGGCTAACGATTTTTCGGAAATCCTGAAAGAGAAAGATTGAGAGAGAGAGAGAGAGAGAGAGAGAGAGAGAGACTGTACCCTGACTTTTCGTTCGAGGAGGGAAGACACTCGCCGAGATCCCACGGAGAAGATTCATAGGGGAAATGGATTACCCAGTGACGCGTGCTAGCTTCGGCTTACACTTTGGTCACGTTCGGGGGGGGGTTGCGAAAGAAATTCCAGCGGCGACAGTCTCGCTATCGCGAGATGAAAAGGAACAGAAAGAGAGAGAGAGAGAAAGGGAGAGAGAAGCCTTAACAGGGGAGGATCTGTTCTAACTGATTGGCCAAGATCAATCGTGATACGGTAATCCTTCCTTTCAGCGAAAGTATCGATCCGACGGTCGACCGTGTACAGACATACACACTTTCTCTCTCTTTCTCTGTTCAATAAATTCTTTCCGTTCGACGATATCCAACGTGGAACCACCGTAGAGTCCCATCGCGGAGGATAGTTGTCCCCCTGTTTCTTCACGATGGCGGGGGGAGGAGGGGCGAGGGAGGGGGCAGAAAGGCCAGACTGGTGGACGAGGTGAAAATGAAATGTCTTCCGAGAAGATAGTCGCGTCGCTGGAGAACAGCAGAATGCATTTTCGCTGGGGGAAACGCAATCTGACTCGGAATGTAAATTGTACGGCGCATAAATGTGGCCACCGTTGTGTTACACACAAGGGCCACGGGTTAGCAGGGACCGGGCTACGGGAACGTATTTATTTTCACGGATTGCGTCGGATTCCCGTTGGTACAGTGCAAATGCTCGGGCGCCGTGTTCCGAGAGAGAGAGAGAGAGAGCGAGAAATAGAGAGAGAGAGAGAGAGAGAGAGAGAGAGAGAGAGAGAGAGAGAAGCGAGCGTTCATTTCGCGTTTAAACGTAGTGACAAATCAAATCAAAGCACCGTCTCGTTAGCCCGTTTAAACCCTCCTAGGGCTAGGCGTTCCAAGATTACTCTTCCTCTCTCACTCGCGTCGTCATCGAACGCGTGAATCCCTTCTGTCCTTCTCCTCTTCGCCCCTAATTTCACCGTTCTCATCTTTGTTCGCCTTTGTTTCCTTCCTTTCCTCTCTCACGCCGTCTTCGTCCACTTCGTGTGTTCCTTTTTGTCGATCCACCGTGTCCGGAGAGAAAGAGAGAGAGAGAGAGAGAGAGATTGTGATCGCCCCAAATGTTAACGCAGCCCGTATCGGAGGAACTTTGATCGAAGATTTTTGCGCGAGACGGTCGGCTACCTCAAGGCGCAAGGATTTGACACGAGTCGAAAGAACGAAGGACCGCGCGAAGAACCTCTGTCTTTCATCCTTTCGTTTCGCTGTTCCTTTATCTTTCTCTTTATCTGTCTCTTCGTACCTTTGTACAAGGCGTGCACGCATACTTATGCAGACACGCGTTATTAACGAACACTCACACACAGACACACACGTAGGAGCACGAAAAGCATAACGCGACACACACACACACACACACACAACGTGAAAAAATATAACACACCGAAGGGAGCAAACGACACAACGTTAGGATTCGTAAAGAGAAGAAAGAAAAAGGGGAAATACCGGACGGTTCCTTTTCTACTTTCCGCTTGCACCCGCTGAAGCCGAGTGAAGAGGGCCGTTCGCTCAGACGAAGATTGTAAATTGAAGCAATAATAAACGCGACTTTTTACCATTAGGAGAAACACGCCACGATGGAAACACGCACCGAGATATATTTAGTGACGAGAGTTTCACGTTTGTACACAGACTTAAGGGTATTATATAAATATAAATATATATATATATATACATAATGATATATATATTTATTTATTTATTAATTTACGATGTTAAGTTTGGAAGAGATACGTTACGTTTTGAATACGAGAGAAGAGAAGAATATATACTCGATGGACCAGCAAGAACGTATGCGTACCGTATCCATCGCCAAGTATCACCGGAAGTATGTAAGTCGAACTCTCGAATTCGCGTATAGACGTGTACATTTTCGATCGATACGTAACTGGATGTTTGCTAACTGCGGCTGATCTTGCTCGTTCATTTTGCATTGCGCGTCGCAACTATATAAAATATAGAGACAAGATCGCGACGTATCTTGTCATTATTTCTCACTTTATTCAAAACAGGAAACGTAAAAAGATCCAATTTCAACACTATATACATTATGAAAATTTTGTACGAGTAACTGTACAATTTTATTATTTTTAATCGACATAACGTTCGATTTCAAATTTCAAATTTAGTTATTTTACAAGTAAAACTGAAAGACACGGGCTTGATGTTTAATTTGTCGGAATTGATATTAATTTCTGTTCAGCACAGAAGCATAATTAATACAAATCTATTTACTTTAATTGTCATTCAAATTGTAATTTATTACAGTGTAATATTTCGTCGAATGTTTTAACGGTTGATAGATATTTTCGTTTATTTGTATTAATAACTTTGTCAAGCCGAGTATATATAAATGACGTGACGCTCGCGTTTTCGATCGCTCGAAATTCATTAAATCCAGCGACTTACGAACGAGCCACGCGCAAGTGCGTTTACGTTCAACGCGCATCCAGAAGATCGTAACGTTGTCACGTGTCACCGAACATTATCATTACGCGAACCTCGTTGATACGACGCCGACGATCCGGATAACTCGGCCGTGCGGCGTCTATTGCTGCCGTGTCGGTGGCACGTCCTCGAAACGCAACGCGTCTAGGAATTTAATGGAATATCGAATTCCCGCTGATTAAAGTCTCCGAGCGGCGACGGTATCCCGGGAGGAAGTTCGAAAGTTAAATATTCAATTCGCCACGGTAAATCTCTCGCCCCACGGCGCCTTCGCTCGCTCTCAAAAACGAAAGAGAGAGAGAGAGAGAGAGAGCCCGGATCGCAGTAAGATTTCGAGAATAGCAATCCTCGCTCGCGCGAATAATAGCGGCACGATCCGTGAAACGAGGTCAGTACGAACTACGAGGTATTATTCTTTTAAAATATCACGTCCGATTGATTCTCCGGCAATTCTTCATCACGCCTGTCCCCCCCCCCCCCCAACCCTTATCTAAACTCGATGATTAAACGCCGGTATTGAGAGATCGAATCGCGAGAAAGAGATAAACAGATCAAATCGATCGTTTCGGCGTCGATTCGAATTTTATTCAAATATAGCCCGATTTTACAATATTCAAAAGCTCCGGAAACGATTGGACTCGGGAGCGGATTGGAAGTGGCGTTCGACTCTTGACGAAATTAACGTGACTCGATTTTGACGAACAGTTTCACAGAGCAATTCATATAATAGAAAATTCGATCCGAACGTAAACCTACCGAATTTATTGTCTATAGGATCGCGTTTTGCGGGGCGATGCCACGCCCGGTGGCAGGTTATAGCAGTTACGTTGTATTTACGTTTATAGGATCGATCCCGAAATTGCTCTTGCGATAACAATTTACCGCGGGCTTGTTACGGTCTTTTTTTTTTTTTTTTTTTTTTGTGAAAAATGTCTACGACGCCGGCGTTTTCATTTTCCGCGACACTTTGATCCACGAACGGCTCTCTCGGGGCACAATGCTGACCGATATTTCACGCCTTTCCTTAAAATCTGATTCCGAACGTTCCGCAAGTAGTAAAAACGATTTTGATCAGACCCGCACAAAGGGACCCCCCCATCGATCGGAGGTTAAATCCCCGATGTGAAATAAACTTGAAAAACCCCGACACACGAAAACGATACTCGAAAGCAAAAGACCTGCCAACGGTAAATAATAACTTTATGGTCCATTGAAGTTCGCCTTAAAGCTTCGACTTTACACCGGAAGGATCTTTCGTGAGAAATTGACGTTTAGTCACATTCCCGTGTAAAAATAAAAAGGGGGAAAGGAGACAGAGTTGTAAAAAGAAAAATTGCAAAATAATCGCAGACTGGTTTTTCGTTGAGGAAACTTTTTTTTGTCAATTTTACGCGCTTTCAAGAGTTTCCGAGAGTGTGTTATCGATGTGTGTTTCTAGAATCGAAAAATTCCCCGTGTTGAATAACGATTGTAATTCTTATTGACGCCGTTTCGCAAGGGAAACAAGACACCCGGGTGTAATCGCAATTTCAAGCCGCAATTTCGAATGGGCGAAACGCGATCCGGAAAGAGGTTCAAATAGAATTTACGCCGGGAGCTAACCCGCCGGAGGGGGAGGGGAGGGGGGCGGTCGAATTTGAACAATTCCCCCGGCGCTCGACCGCTTAATTTGCCGAGGGCGATCGAATCGCCCCGATAACCGGCAGGCTGCACAAAGAATCGGAAATGGCCGAGCACACCGCCGGGTGAAATATTCCTGCCACCTGTAAGAACGCGATCGGGAACGCGCGATGAAATTCGGTGGGAAACTCTTTCGCGTATTTCTTCTTTCACCGGTGTGATCGGCCGGCGGACAGCCGTGAAAAATTAATCCTTTTCCGCCCGAAGAATCAGCCGATCCCCTCCCACCACGATCGAACGACCGGCTCGAAACGAGGGTGAAAACAGGCGGGCGTCGAACGGGTCCCACTGACCCAGAAGCCGCGTCTCTCCTCGCCCACGGGCCACCGTCGTTTCGACCGTCCATCACTTTCCGGAGAACTTTATCCAAGTTTCGACAGGTGCGGCGAAGTTGGCGATCCGATTGTCACGGCCAGACACGGGACAACTTGCTGGCAAGCAAGGAGAGAGCGGAGATTTGGTTACGCGGCGATTTTTCAATTCCCCCCTCCCCCCCCCTGCAATTTCATTTTCCGCCGATCGGCGCCGATAGATATAATAGAATCGAGAGATAGAATCCGAGGGCCGAGCTGTCCGGGAGTTTTATAATCTCTCTCCGCGCGAAATTATGGACGTCCGATATTCCCGAAGTTCGTCGCGCACCGTCGCGCGAAAAAACTGCTCCGAGGGAATTTAAATTGAAAGTCAGCTGATTGGGATTGGCGTGAAATTGTTCTCTTTTTTTTTCTCGCTCTCTCTCTCTCTCTCTCTCTCGTTAGATTTGGTAGAGGCACGAAATTGTTGAAATTTGGAAAGGTGGGAAGAGTTAGTTTGATGTTAATCGAATCGAGCGAGAGACCTAAAGCGAAGGAAATGAGCTCGAGAACCAGAAGGGCAGAAGGGAAGTTCTCACCGAAAGGAACCTAGATTAGAAGAATAATTAAAACGGAGGGGGGAGGAGGGGGGGGGGACGAACGAACGAACGAACGAAAGAGAAAGGGAAACCCGAAAATGAAAAGAAAAAGCGAGCCAACGGACCACCCTCTGACAAGCCAAAATATTAGAGTTGGAAGCATTTCATTGGACCCACTTTCCCGGTCGGTTAGCCAAGATTCCACGGTGGCACTTCGCCCGACTCGTTAGCCACGGTAGTTAGTCATGCCACGCGGATATCTCGCCGTAAGGAACGAGGAGGAGGAAGATGAAAAAGAAGAGGGAATCTGTGCTCGTGCAGAAGGCTCGGGCAGAAAAAGAAATGAAAACTCGGCTCGTTCCTCCTCCTTCGTCTTTCTCTCTGATCTTTCTCTTCGACGTTTTTTTTTTTTTTTTTTTTCCTCCCTTTCCGGTTTCGTGTCGCGGGGATTTCGATGCGTTCGAGGCGCGCCCCCGTCGGCGGCTATTTTTGTATGTACATACATAGAGAGGCAAGAGCTGCGCAACGTCGAATGCACATCACGTTCCTCAGGCGCGTAAACGTCCGTCTTCAGTGTCCGTGTTGTTTTTTGCTGTTCATTGCTCCTGGCTCTCTTTATCTCTTACACTCTGTCCGTCTGTCCGTCTGTCCGTCTGTCCGTCTGTCTGTCTGTCTGTCTGTCTGTCTATGATAGTATCTCCGCCGGTTTCATAACAACGATGCGATAACAAAATACAGTTGTTAAACGATTATTCGGGATCCCTTTGAGCGCAGCCTTGCGTCGCTCGTGTCACGATGAAGACGACGACGCTCGATCGCTCGAGAGTGTCGGTCCCCGGTTCACTCTGTCGATGCCTTCATCGATGCTAATGCGGCTGTCGAACAACGTCATCCAGATTTCTCGCTGTGTTTGAGAGAAAATTTCCCAAACGTCGGGTTGGCCTGCAACGTGATTGACTAATTAATTGAAAAGAAAAATCGGCGACGAAATATTGGAAATGAAGATCATCGCGTCTGCCTGTAAATATTATTGAAATGTGAAATATATTCAGTAAGGAACGTGTCAGAGTGAAATGTAAATGTGAGATGCTATTTAATCGCGACGTGAAGTGTCACGCGTGCACGTGTGACAGATGGCGAGGAATCGTTACGTACAAAATCGGATAACTCTTTCACTTGTCGGCGGCTTTCAGCCTTGAAAAGAGAAAAAAAGAAAGAAAAAAAAAAAGAGAAAAAGGCAGATCGACGCACGGCAAATTACGATTACGTCGCGTCCAATTAAATGTCCAACAATATCCCCCGGTGGATAAGTGTGAATCGTAATCCGCTGTCAGTTTGTAAAGTACGAGATATCCGGCGAATCGCAGTAAATTAACACTGATTTACTATATTAATCCTTGAATAACAGCGCAAAAGAGCATAATTCATCCCGATTACAACAACAATTCTCTGTTTACGCGATTTGCGAGATTTCGGCCAGTATATCGAGCCAGTACTCCACGACACCGTATTCTCAAACACCGTGACATCTGGCAGTTCAGCCATGTATTCGTGTATCTGAGCTGTTTAATAATGGAGCTATAAGTAACCCGTAGACTAATTAAGATTAGAATTAAGGCAATATCGACGCAAATGTTTCATTTTCCCCGAGGAAAGGACCGATACCGTTCGATATACACGTACTTCGTTACACACACACACACACACACACACTTTTGAGTATTATTACGTGCGTTTATGAAACCGGCTTACGAATGCGTCCACTGTTTGTACCGTTTCTTAACTTTCTCTCCCTCCACCATTTGATCGGTTTCCCAGACTCTCTCGCACAATTATTTTCCAATTAATGACGTGCTACCAGTTGAATTTATCAATCGGCACTGGAAAGGCTTGGAATGAAACGAGAATCAGAGTTACCAGATTTGTAATTTGCAAAATTTCCAACTCGTCGAACGTTCGTTCGAACGCTGAGAAAATGAAATTCACCGTGACCTGCGAATTATATTGATGTAATCGTGCAAGGGGGCCTGTGATCATTTGTATCCTGGTTTATGTGCCGCTGCGAAAATCAAAGAGAAAACCAGCGTAGCTTGTTTCGTCGTGTATGTACCGTTTGTACCTTTGTGAATTTCTCCTGTAAATATTAGTATAATAGTTTCGTGTATTCGCACGCCGCGTATTCCGTACGTATGGTCGTTAGCTTCACCTTTTCTTCTCCTCGGCTTCGTTGTTCTTTTTCTTTTCCTTTTCGTCTTTCACTCTGTGCTCTCTCGTCCGTTTCCTTTCTCGCTCGTCAAAACACGCAGACGAAAATTGAAAATATCGACGCGAGGTCGGTGATCTTTGCATTTCGCTGATCCGCCGAGTTTTTTTCCCGTAAAATCGCCGAGCACGGAAATTGATCATTTTCCTCCGGGAATGTTTTATTCTTCCTTGACGCGATCGATCTTCGAGTTTCATACATCCCCTCTTTTTCTTAGATCGAGCGTGTACAGTGGAAAATGAAAAATCTCGAACACGAACCAGATCGAACCGAGTGATTCTTTTCTTTTTTTTTTTTTTTTTTTCCAACGTTTAACAGAACGTAGACGTGACCGCGTCGCGTACGCGCGTATTCGTATTTTCTACAAGCGTGCCGCGATATCGTGCGTAGAATTCTTTCAATTTTTCAATTAACGACGACAGGAGTTCGGTCAAATTTTCGTCGCGGAGCTAACATTATTCTAGAACCAACTTTTCGTCTTGTGTAACGTTTCGACACTCCCCGCGAAATTTCCATTAAATTTCGCAGAGGAGCTATAAATTTATACACTTACCAATTATACATATATATATAAAAAAATTAATTATAACATAAATTACGAAATATATACATACTACTACCATTATAGTAGTACGTATATACATGCATACTCACGGGTAAATACGTATGTATGATTTACTTACATACACGAAATATTTTAAGTGACCATATAGAAATTTCATACAATTGCTGATAAAAATGTTTAAGATATCTAATAAAGTTATATTGTATATTCAGTAATACGTGTGCTGTTTGTCCGACATGATAAAATGCCTGTTAATCTCCTTTTTATGTTGCGTTGTTTCGTTACTGTGTATACGTGTAGAATATTACGTGTAGCTAATCCTAAATCCTGCGTTTTGTGTGCCGAAACATCTCCATGTGCTTATCTTGTAACGTCCAATACGATACTTTTTACGCTTTGCCGAGTATTTACTTATTCTGGTTTTATGTTGAACATCCCGAAATAAAAGCCAAGAATCAAAAACGATTTTTTTGAATTTATTTTCTCGAAGATCTGGAGGTTCGAATTCTAAAAGGACATTGAGTTGCACTCTGTTGGATAAATAAGGGTAGTGGCAGGGTTTTTATGCGCGGTACAAATAGATTTACTTTAGGGATAAAATCCCATTTAAAAATATCCACATCGCGCGGACCATAAATTCTACCACCCCTATCTTTCTATTGGATATTCACAGCAAGCTTCTAAAGTGTAAGTGTCTTTTTTCTCGATTTAAAAAGCATGCCTGATGGTCTTTAGTCGAGAAGCGATAAAAATGTCTAAAATACATCCATAAAGGTAAATATCTTCAAGAGTTAAAAGCAGGAGATAACAGATACATTTTCTGAATAGTTTTATTCGTGCGATATGTATCAAGAATGGACAATTAATGTTTTATACAATTTAGTTATATGGATGAATTATTACTCGGTAGTATTACTGACAATACTCTTCTTTTTTTTTTCTTTTTTTTAAATACAGAGAAACACAGTTTTTAGATTCAATACTTGTTATATTATAGTTGCAAAATATCAGAATAGTATATGTTCGTTAAAGTCTGTAATGATACTGTACATATTGACATGTAATTAGTCTATGCTTTGTTACATTAAACATTGTTTTCCATTGCCTCGGAATCAAACCACTAGTGTCGCAATTTATCATCAAAGAATTACAGGTGCTAATTCTCTTATGAAATTAAATGCGAGAACAAAACATCACAGGTAAAGTTCAAAATCCACTCTTGCAGCATTATAAAACTGATTGTTCTGTCCCGTTCTCCGCACCCAAGCCCCACTTTTAAAATATCCTTCCTTCGCCCATACGTGCATTTGTTCGCTTGTATGTGGACCATAAACTTCCGCATTTTCATCCTGCGACCACTTCAGTTCCCACATTACTTCTTCTTCTTTATTTTCGTTTTCTTCACAATTATCGGTTTCTTTAATATTACCTGAAAATATAGTAAGCATAATGTAATACAAAGATTATTTAGGGGCAATGTATAATTTCTCTGAAAATATAATTACTTTCATTCCCATCCAATTTCGCTTTTTCTTTTACATCGAAATCGTCAGCATACATATCCAACTCTGCTTCTTGTTTCGAAGGATGAGCATGCTTTTCTCCTAGCTGAATCTACGAAAATGACATCATAGATAACTTATTAGAAATTTTTAATATCATTCACTGTTCGCTTCTCGTTTATTACGATTGCAATTACCTTCGTTTTGATTTGCTCGTAATTTTCCTGATATATATCCATATTTCCAGTACGAGTTAGCAATTCATTTGCTAATTCTGTTAATTTTGTTATATTAATAGAATTTTGATCATCTTCCACCGGTTTCTTTTCCTGTTTCCTCTTCCATCTTTCCGCGGTAGTTAATCTTTTTTTTCCTTTTCCTGCGAACAATCGTAGTAACAAACACGTACAAATACCGATTTAGCTTCATTTTCTTCCAAATGAAACTCAATCAGTAAAAAATAGCTACCAAGTCTGCATAAAGCCTTAGAAACAGTTTCCCCAGGTTGCAAGTATTCCAGCATCTGTTTATAAACCTGAATCGGATTGAACATAATATCTGCACCTTCATCTTCGCTATCGCTATCTGCCAGCCCGTGTGTCTCACTCCTTTCATTATCCTTCTTTACACTTGGCGCAGAACTCGGTTTGATCTATCAAGATTATGCCTTAGTAATGGTTTGCATTACTGAGTAAACAAGGCAGGTTTACAGATAATTCTACATCTGCTGTATGAAAACATATTCTGATATTTCAATATGCAAAGGTCCAAGAACAAGAAAAGAAATTAGAAACATTCAAGCAAATTTGTATTTGACTTTAAACTACCAATGCCACAATTCTTACTATATAATTATATAAATTTAGTACACCAATTTTCTCCTATATTCCAAGAGTAAAATCATCCGAATAGTTCTACAAACCTGCATCCAATCAATGTTGTCTAACCAATTATCTCTAATTTCTTTTTCTTTGTTCCACAGATAATGGCCTTGTTTATCAAAATGTCCTTCCTCTAACTCTTCTTTCATGTTAAACGCAGTGAATCCCACATTTGTTTCTGGAGCACTTGGTCCATCCTCGGCGCCTAACAATTAAACATGTACACTTAACGTGACGTTAAACATACTTTTTTTTATACCTTTACGTACCTTCGATTTCATCGTCGCTCATAATATTGTAATTATCCTCATTAGCATCATCATCCTCTTCATCCGAATCTAACGAGTTTTTCACCGGTACTTTCATAACGCTGTTATCTTCTAATTCGTCGAATTTACGTTTATACATTGTTCTATATCGCGAACAACAAATCGACGATAGAAGCGAACTTTTTCACTCCTTACACCCGAACAATAAAATATAATCTTTTGTTGGACGATACTATTTTCAAGACAAGTGTCGTATTTCGATTTATATGGTAATAATTGCACTGCGTTCTTTAGAACGCACAAGAGGCAAATTTTTAGACAAGTATATTTAAGGCGATGCAATTATTTATAAACAATTAACTAGCTAACAATTAAGTTCAATTTAGGTTAGGTCTCGGTTAAAGTAGCCTGACACTTACTCGCAAGACGCGAGCGTCGCCTGGTAGAGCCAAACAGAGTTACAGTGATAGTTTTAATAATTTAAATGTACTCGTATTATAATTTATGTGTTTAAGTATATTTTATTTCCGATCAATGTAATCGACTTATTTCCATAAACAAAAGCTGCAACAAACATATGATCTAATGTAAATTTTGAAAATTATCCCTTGTGGAATGTGAAAAATGTACTTACATTTTAATTTACTAATAAATGATTTTATTAATAAATGAATAATTTCACCTTTCAATAATGAAACATGGTTAATAATGAATAATAGTCAATAATTAACACTAATTAGATCATATCAAAAACTGTTCTGTAACCTAAGGGACAATTCTTATATTCTTTGCGCGAATCTTTCGATCTGCTTTTCAAATCTTTATTCGTATGGAACATAAATGGAAAAGTCAACAAATTTTCAAATCTTTAGTCAAATATAACGTAAAGATGAAAAGCTTAGGATTTACGAATGAAGATACAACTGCAAAAATTCATAAATTAACCCTGTTAATTAGTTTTCCTGCAAATGAAAATATGCTCGGTTCATGGCCAAAATTTTAGATATTTTAAGCCTTAAAATACTAGTACGTAACGGTGAAACGACAAAATTATAACTTATTCTCCTTTCTTCACATTGCGTGAATTTTTTATTTAAACAAATACTGCTATTTAGTGGATATTTTTTTCAGTTCCAATCAAAATTCAGAAGTACTCAAATGATCAGCATCATATTTTAGTTCCACTATCTCACCGCTACGGGACGCTAGTATGTTGGTTTAATTGATGAAATTTTTATTCATAGAGAGAACTAATTAAGAAGATCAATTTATGCACTTTTACAATTATAAGTATATCAGATTTTAAGCTTTCTTTCTATGCTTCATTTGATCTATAAAATTCGTGAATAAAAATTTACAGATTTTACGCAATAGATCGAAGCACTTGTTCAAAAATATTGCTCTTTGAACCATAACTTTTAAATTTCAAATGAATAATAAACTTTTATTCTTCGACGAACTAAACTGAAAAATCTGAAAAATACCTATTTCATTATATTTCTGTAAATTGTAATGAATTTATGACAAGTTAATTTTCTTGATGAGTTTAAAAAAAATTAGAAAAACCGTATGATTACGATGGATTAGATACGTATTTAGAAACTTCATGAGATTAATTAGTACATATGTAAGTATATATCGAATTTATTCTCGAATTAACTTCCAAGTAAATTAGTTTTGTATGAAGAAAGATATTCATGTACATATATACTCTATAAAGTGTCAAAAAACTACATAGACAAAACGTTTTCAGTATATAATACTTATACATATCATGGCTAAATCAGCTGATTTAACGTGCACAGTGATGACAGATACTGCTCGTCATGTATTGATTACTGCGAAGTGCAATTTATCGGTAAGATTCATAATTAACAATAAACGTAAATGTTTCTACGTACAAGATAACTATGAAAATATGTTTTACGTTTAGTATCTTCAACATGATTACGTATATTATTTGTAAAATTTTATACGATATGTTGAGAATAAATTTATTACCAACGTATATCGTAAAATGTAATTGTGCAGAATGTGTAATATAAAGACGTATAATGTCACTTATCTACTTTCTTTCATCATTGTTAAAAGAACAGTAAGTACAAACATGTAAAAAGCAAAATTGAACGTCTTTTATCAATGTATACATAAGTAAATTAAATTTAGTGAAATGAACGATGTATTTCAACAAGTGAAATTGTTATATTTTAATATTTTGTGTTACAGACACAGAATTTGAATATTAATAACAAAATAATTGCAGTTTGAAATGTTTTTAATAGATTGTATGTTAATTTTTTTTTATGTTCATTAAAGAGAATTTATACAGTAAATATATGCGATTGTAAATTCAAGCCAGTTATAAAATATAGTATAAAATAATGTTGCTATATAATGGGTTATTAATATAAATCTTTCAAGCAGGCCAAAGTTATTTTGAGCATACCTTGAAGGTTGGTTGCCAACCTCAAAAATTCAGAATCTACTTCTTCAATTTTATATATGAAACATCAAATCTTGATTAAATTTATTTAAAAATGGACTCAGATTCTACAGAAATGGTGAAAGAGATCAAAAACAAGGTAATATTACATTGGAATTGTCGAGGTCTTGTGGAATTTCCTGAAGCGATAAGGATTTATGGGGGCCACATTCAAGAGATATATTTGAAATGGAATAAACTCACTACATTACCTCCGTGGATTATAGAACTGTTTAATGTTACTAATTTATATATCTATGGGAATTTAATTAAAGAAGTGCCTCTAGAACTTTGTCAAATGAATCAGCTGACAGTTCTTGATTTGAGTGCTAACAAGTTGGAGCAAATACCTCCTTACATAGGAAACTTAATTAGTCTAAAATCCTTGTTATTAAATGATAATTCTATAAGCAAGTTACCATTCGGTAAGTTCCTAGATGCTACAAGTAATTTCAAATTTATAACTTTATCTAACTTGAATGTGTATATAATTTTTATAGAAATGAATAAAATGCATAATTTAGAAATCTTATCTATTTCTGGAAATAAATTTGTTGCACTACCAGAATGGATTGGTTCCTTGCCTAAATTGAAAGAACTAACTGCTGATAATAATTGTTTAAAAGAATTACCAAATAGATTGACTTTATCTCCACAACTGTCAATAATTTCAGTGTGCTCTAACAGGTTATTATATTGAATAATCATTCAATGAATCGAATTATAGTTTATTGTCAATAGATTGTTGTTAACATTTTAAATGCTTTTACTTTATGCAGAATAATTTTTATATAGGCTGAGGTATTTACCATTAAATGGATTTGTGTCGTCTCCTTGTATTAGATTTGATGCAAATGTATATTTGAATTATTTATCTTATCCACTTGTTCATCAGTTAACAGCTCAAATTCAAGATTTATTTGTCCAAAATCAAAGAAATGTTTTAGGCTATGGGTATGTACATTACAGTATATGATATTCATAATTTAAAAATAATTTAGTAACAAATGTAATTTTAAAGTATGTTAAAGTCCTCAGAAACAAATTTATTTGCATTTATTACTGAATCTATAAATATATACATATATACAATCACAGATGTTTTACAACTCATTGTGAAAACAATACATTACGTACAAATATAAAATTAAAAATAAAAATAAATGCATTGCATGAAAAGGATACTGATTTCACGATTGATTTACCACGCCAGCTTTTGAAAGTTCATAATATACATGAAAATAAAGTTATTTCTTTATGGGAATTAGCTTTGAGAAAGGTTTATACTGAAAGGTAATTGCTTACTTATGTTACTCCTTGTATTATTATTACTTTAAGTGTTATTGCGTGAATTTTAGGTATAAACATACACTTAATATTTCTGTATCACCTATAAGTATAAATGTTCAATATGAACCAATTACAATAAGAAATTACCAGAAACTTGATTTTAACGTTTCATGTAACTTGCTAATGAATGGCCCAATTAGTATTTGTGTGAATTTTCAATGCCAACAACCAATTTTTACAGAAGCTTGGATAATTATAGGCATTAGTCATTATACAGAGTCTATAACAACAGTTGCATTGTGTTGTTGTAAAAGGTAAGAGAAATATTATTCATAGATCCATGTATATCAGATTTAATTTTTCAGATGTGCAGCTGAATTTTCTAAACATTCCAATATGATCATCAGGCATTCTTGGCATTGTATAAATTAATGATATTTTATTAAATTCTGTAAATAGATTACACATAAAAAAAATAAGAGTTTAATGTTTGAAATCAGCTTTGTATCAATTTTTTAATATTCCTTAGCAACGCTTAGTATAAATTAATATCAAAACATTCACATATTTTTATTTTATAATGGCTAGTACTTTGAACTTCCTTCATACGAAAAAATTAGTTATTTTATTCACTACACGATTATTTTTAAAATAATGTGTCTTTTTAAATCTTCAATTTTGAATTATTTTATACATTAAAATCTTACCTTTTGTGCAGTAAAAAATTTGTTTAGACCATTTTAATAATTACTTTTTACAAAATTCTATTATGCTATTAGAAAATCTAAAGCTCTATCGCGGTCGATATTACATTTTAGAAGTGCAGCAGATGCCTTTTCTTCAGAAAAACCTAAATTTCGTAAGATACATAGATTTTTATAATAAACTTTGGCTTTTTCTTGATTATATTCTGTAAGAGCAAGAGCTTTTTCAGCTTCCTCTCCAGAAATTCCAATTTCTTCTAAAGCTTGTACAGCTAATAAATATTCTACAATTTTTTTATTATCCTGACCATCTAATTCGCGTATAGCACGAGCAGCTCTCGATAAAGGAAATCCCATATCGTTCAAGTGTCGAGCTAATTTTTTATCTTCCTCTGTTAAATCTAATAGTAAATTCATAAGAGCAACTTGATTTGTTACCACTGATTCTTCTTGCTTTAATGTTTCATGAGTGCTTGTGTCAGGACTTTCTAAATTTGGCCAAGGTTTCCAATTCTGTGGTACATATTATAGATAAGTAATCCAAAAATTGGAATCATTCATATATATACTACTTTTTATAAAAAAATATTATTACCTCCATAAGTGGTCTTTTTAAATCTCTTTGAAGCTCTTGTACAATTGCAGATACACTACGATGTTTGATATTCTCTTGTTCATTAACTTCCTCTTGATCAATAGTTTCATTTTTGACATTATCATTTTCTTCTTTTATATGAGTTTTTGACTTATCGTTGACACTTAAGTCATTTAATAAACTTTCTAATTTTGCTGATGGTACCCATTGAGACGTAGGCTGTAATACCTATATAAAATAATATGTATTAAATTTACTATTTGTTACAAATCAATTAATAATAATAATAATAATAAAATATTTTATTAACCTGAGCAAGTTCTTCCATTTCATTAATTGTTTTTAATTCCATGTTATCAAATGGACTACTTGTATCATTATCAAAATCAGCAAAATCAAGACCATTTGCTTTTATGTGATCTTGAAAATCATTGGCAGGTGGAGACAAAGGCTGTGGAGTAAGAATTGTTGTTTCAGGCACAGGTGCATTTATAGGCTTTGCGATATCAGGCAATGGAGGTGGTGGTGGAGGTGAAAATTCAGTTTTTTGTTTCTTTCTTTTCTCATCTAATCGTGCATGCCGTGCTTTGCTATTCGCTTGTCTAACATTACGCCATTCTGTCATCTATAAATCAAATTATTGCAAATTATAGTTCATTTTTTTTTTTTTTTTTTTTAAGTAATACACAAATTTATATTCGAGTCATAATTGCATTAATAATCATGTATGTTAAAAGAGAATTTTACATGCATCATAAAATGCAAATCATTTTCAAATAAATGTATATCATGAATTGATGTAAAATAATACTCAACCTTCTCAAGTACTGATCGTTCCAAATTGAAATCATAAGTTAATTTCGACACGTCCGGTAGCTTATTGTTATATGCAGCTGGTAAACATATCTTTCGTGGAGGTTTATAGGCCTCTGCAATTTTAACGTGAATTCCATCCATATATGACGCAATTAAATCACATTGTGCTGATATCGAGGAACGAGCCATATCTCAGCACTAGAAGTTCAGTATTTTAAAAAAATAAGTTGTCGAAATTTCAAGTTACTATACATATATTAAATTTGTATCATAACCTCATATCGTTTTATTATATTTATATTTATGTAGTCTAGTCAGGCTACTTTTCACGATTATTATTGCATATTTTTAAAAATATACACAGAAAATCACATGTTTCTTATTAATAACATCTGTTAAGTGTACTGACTTGCATTTGACAACTTATGATGATTTGAACTTTTAATCTTCAACGCAGCCATATTGAAATTACTATGTACAATCGATAGAAAAACGAAAAAGAATATCGAGAACATATATTGAACTTAGAAAGTGAAATATGCAATTTAAAACTAAAATACGAAAATTTATTTTCATAAAAAGATAATAATTTGTTTAACAATCATTTATTTTTATCATTTAGTAACAATAAATATAAGTCGTCAACAGTGTCACTGTTATCACAATAAATATCACTCGAAAATTTAATAACAATATTATATTATACATACTTTCATGATTTTTAACTGTCATAAATTTTTAATTGTTCAAACATATAATCTACATTTATACATAAAATTTTTTAATTTATTTTGTACTGTAGACAACAGGCATTGCAATTGACCTTATTGCACAGTATAATTTATTGAACATATACATTTATATATATACATATTACATATGTATATGTATGTATATAAATTAATCAATTGAACTAAATAATTTTTATCTAAATTTTTATCGTACCCTTTTACTTTTATCTTCTTTTTGATCAATAATATTTTGACCTTTGTACTTTAAATTATTGTCACCTTTTAAATCTTTTTGTAATTTCTTTGTTTCCAAAGATTTCATATATGCAAGAAAAGATGTCCAAATTAAACTACAACAACTTACATAAATTACACGATTATGTTCTGGGACAAAAAAAAAGTTAATTGTTTGTAAAACAGGCCATACACAAACACCAATCTGAAAAATAAAAATTTTAGTTTAATTTTTTGGTTATATGAATTTAATACTAATTATATATATATATGAATTTAATACTAATTATATATATTATATATATATTAGCTTTACTTTGTATGTAGGCCAGAATTTATGTTTAACTTCTTCAATACATTCCATCACTGGTTTCATTTCAAGTAAGTTCATACCAAAAAAGAAACAACACATTGCAGTAGGACTATATGTGACTTGTTCTATTAAAGCCTAAAAAATAAATATTATTAACCATTAAAAGATTATATCTTGTGAAATGCTAATTGTTTTAATTAATTAATTTTAATATACTTTGGTAATTGCAGACTTCAGGTCTGACTTTGGCCAAAAATATGAAGAACATCTTATCCAACAATATAGTGTTGGAGCTACAAAAAACCCACCATATAAACTAAATCTTAATGCTTGCATATAATTTAATTCGTCATGTCCTATTATTTTTTGTTGTATTAAGCATCCTGTCGGCCAAATGACTGTGTAAGAAGCCATTCCTCTTACAATCGGGTATTTTTGCGATACCTCGCGAATTTTTATTAAAATAAGACGCATATTTAGTAGTCACTAAAATACAAAATATTTTGATTGTTAATGTTAAACATAAAAATATAATGTAAATAATCTATATTGTAAACAACTGTGTAATCGATAAAACGACGCATAAGCAAAACTAAACGAAACTGCAAAGCTAAACAATTAGATTATACTATTATTATCTAGAATACATATTTATCTGTATTAGCATATATATATAATATAGAACTGTGCAATTTATTAGTTCCGCGAAGAGTATCGAATTTGATAAATTTCATATATTTTTTTGTTCACGACACGTGACAAATCAATTTAGAATGAATGATGCTACGCGCCAAACAAAAGAGTGCGTGCAATGTTTTAGAGACGGAAATGTTTTTTTAATATACGTATCTATATACGTATACATACAATTAAAAAAAAAAGTTTTTTAGGAAGTTATGTCACTTAAACTGTCATCTATTACTTAATTCATTTTCAACATTCTAATAAGCTATCAAATATGATGATGTCAATAAGATTTCGATTACAAAATTTTTAAATAATTTTCAAATTATCTTCTTATTCATGTACATTTTCTCGTGCGTACCTTTTTTTGATAAAGGGTCGAGAAGTTGATAATGTTTCCGCGGTTTGTTTGAATGTCAGGCGAGAAAACTCGCTGCACCGCGGATTTGTACGAAACAATACTCCTGTAAGGCCGACACATCTGGAAATGATTCACTACTAGGGAAACACGCGCATACTGGCAATCGTGAGACGAGACTTATATTCGACACGCGCAAAAGTACCAACGATGACGAAACTAGTCGATCCATTCTTATCTGTCCTTGGTAATTTCGTGTCTTTCAAGTACAGTTTTCCAATAGTTTAATATATCGTACAAGCAGCTACATATCGTCTTTTAATTGCGTGCGAATACATGATGTCGTAGAGCAAAGCAATATTGAAATATCTGACGTCAGCAAAATTTAAATTGAAGAATAGATGTAGATTCAATTAGTAAAGTTTAATCGATTGGATCAAAAAAAGTATGAGGAGGTTTGAATAGATTAAGCTGTTTCTCTAGAATCAGTGGCACGTATTTAACAATGTTGTAACGTGACTTTATTATGATGTGAATTATGGGTTTTGGTCTCTTTAATTGTATCTTGTTTTCATTTAAATTTATTTTTCTTAAATAACCATAATATTCACAAACTTAATTAGTGTCATTGAATGCAGTAACAAACATACAATATAAAACATGGAAAGTATATTATAAAAAGAGCACGCATGTACTCATTTACAATAAATGATGATAGTCTTATATACATTCTTATATATTTTGACAATTGTACAGAATGTACATTATACTGTCTCAAAAAATCATTATTAAACAAGTAAAAAGAGTAACTTAATAAAATAGATACAGTTTGCAAAAACAATGCTAATTTGGACACATGTCATTCGTAAAAATATTTCTCTAACACTTTCCTTATATGAAACTACTATAAATAAAAACATAGTTTTGTTTGTTTCGCATATAAGGTTTAAGTTTATAAACAAATTTATAGAAATAAATCATAATCATAGTCACAAACTATAAAGAATCCGTCAAAATTTAGAATTCTTATTACTTAAATAAAGATGCAACAAAATTTATATAAACATTTTTTTTCTATAACTTGTATTAATTTTTTTATTTCTATTAATAAAAAAATACTGCATGTATTCAATGATAATTATCCATATCCATTCTTTAAAATTATATACATAGAACAGCCTTCAGAAATTGTCAATAAATTTTTCTGCAATTTTGCACATTATTGGCACAGTCTGAATCATTCAATCATTTGAACTACATAACTCATTTACTCATTTCGCTGCAATATCAAATAAGTCACAAATTCCTTCATTTTCACTAAGATTGAAGTGATAATCTTTTTCACTGGGTGGAGGACTTAATCTTACTAATGGTCCATAAACTGAAAATAAAAGTTTAAGAAATTATATTAATATTTGTTATAGCTTATTTAATTTAACTTTTTACTTACTGTCAGAATAAATTTGATCAAATAACTCCAAGTCCCTTTGTGCAATATCTAAAATTATAACAATTAATTCGATTTATATATTAAATATTATTTACTATATTCATATTTTAAGAATGAGTATTATTTACCTGATGTGCTAACATCTCGAAGTACTATCTTTGCTTCTATCAAGTCTGCATCATCTTCTTCATCCTCATCAGATATAACAGGATCAGGTTTACTAGTTCCTTTTGGAGGTCTAAAATTAAAAATTATTAAAATTTGTAGTTAAAATAGAATTGTTAACTAATTTATTTTACTGTTAAAATATTGAAATATATTGCAAATGTAAGATCCATACCAATAGAATAGATTTTTTCTTGATATCTATTCACCCCTATAAAGATCATTTTACTCTGTGCTCTTTGCAGATCAAAAATAATATCTTACTATTTTTGATGCGAATAGAGCAAATTTTTTTATATTTATAGAATTATTCTTACCTTCCAACTCTTCTCTTTGGTTTAACATTAGTTTCCTCCTTTTTCTCTTCTTCTTCTTTTACTCTTTTTGTGCCTTTTATTTCCTCTTGTAGTCTCATTTCTAATATTTTATTATCATATGTTTTAGCTAGTTCTGGTTGAATCATATACACCTTAATTTCTCCAGAATTACTTTTTAGAAACATTTCATAATTCAATTTGTCATCATCCTCTGACGTCTAACATTAATAATATGCAATAAAATATAATCATATTAATTTAAAACTAACCAGAAATATAAATTTCTTTAAAAGTAAGTTAGTACCTGCGTTATATATTTTGGTACATTTAATTCAGTATCAGGTGGAGCTTGAATTCCTAATACAAAATCGTCAGGAAAATTTTCTTTAACATCCTCATAAGTAATATATGCATATTTTTTATTAATTAAATCATTTTCTATATTTTTTATACTTTGTTGAATCCATTGAGTATGCATATCTAATAACTGTTCATGATCTTCTAATTTTCTTATTTCATCTTTTAAATCAGTTAATTTTTCACCAACTTCTTGAGTATTACAACCTGGACCTGCTCCTCTGATGATATATTTAAATTATTTATTATTACAATAAGGTGTACAAAAATGTAGTTGTGATATGTTAAAGAATACACATATGATGAACATAAGTAAAACATACTTCCATTGGATACTATTTTTGCTTTTTTTTTCAATGAGTCCAATACCTTCAAGAACATTAGTTATATCATAAATTCGCCTTTTTTGTCGAACTTCTAGAATATCAGCTGCCTAGAATATTATAAAATTGCTTTGTCAAATATAATCGCGATTTGTGTTCTGTCTTTTAGGTTATGTAGGACAGCACGTTGAGATATTAAAACTCGCAACATGTTGTTTATGGAATGTGAAATGAAAGTAATTTGTGATATAGAAATAATCAACGTTAGAAACATATTCTAAATGAATATGAATTATTAACTTCAGTGAAACTAATTTCAAAATTCCCGCAAGCTGGAAATGGCGTGAACGCCCGCGACAACTTAACCTAGCAAGTAGGTTAACTTTTTATATCTAAGAATTTATGAAAGCACTTACTACTTTTAAATCAAGAACACCGTCCTTTGCTTTCTGTAATAAAGTGACAAAACGAGTCGTTAATAGACCGAGAGACTTTTCAAATCTACTTTGTTGATTATCTGCCATTCTCGAGGTCGTTGTCAAAATTTTCAAAACTCACTATTCCCTTCGAAATTGCCGCAACACCACAGACGCCATCCTAGTTAATGCGCAAGAAGTATTTAAATATAAGCGCGTCTCTAGTGTCGACGTAACGTTAAAAAATATTCTTTTGTTACCTAAATTACTGTTTTATTAAATATTTCCGTTTAAAATGTTGTTTAATTTTAAGCAATATAAAATAGTCTTTCATTTAAATATATATTTTTTAGTAAGTTTACAAACTTATTTAGACTTTATAGACTTATTCAGTTTTTAGTTTCAATATTTATACTTTTGTATTTGTTACTATTATTCATTTAATCATTTTTTTACATAAAAGGATAGTTGTTAATTTATTCAGTAAAATATATTATATAGTAAAATATATAGAAGGAGAATAATTTTAATTTTAGTTATTTTATTTACAAAATAAATGAAAATATCTTTTGTATAACATATTTAAAAATGTATTTACAATATTTGATGTTTAATGTTCTGATTCATGATGCATTAAAATTATGCATTAAAATTATATATTTCTAAATTATATAAAAATAATAATATAGAGCTTTAAAAGATTACAATATGTTAATTTTACTATGGAAAAATAAATTCGTTAGTAACAGTTGTCGCATCTGGACTAAGACTAGAACTTGCTGAGCTTAAAGTTTCTTCTTTGACCTTTAAATTTGAATCTTTTGTCTTATCTTTTTCTTTATCTTTCTCTTTCTCCTTAACTTTGTCTTTGTCCTTTTTGTCTTTATCTTTACCGTGTTTATGATCATGTTTATGTTTATGTTTGTGCTTATGTTTCTTTTTATCCTTCTTCTTTTTCTTATTCTGCAAAATAAATGATATAAAAAATAATATCTATAATAAATGCATATAGAATATATATATATATATATATATATATGTACGAAATAAGAATATTAACAGAGAAAGATTGTAATATGATTTACCTTATTGACAGAGTCACTTTTTTGTTTATATTCTTCTCCTTCTTTTTTAAACATCCCTGGTTCGAAACCTACTGGCCCTGGTGTTCCCATAATGCCAGGTAATGATGCAGAATTGTCACTATAATACTCTGATTTTACTTTCCCATCATTAGTTACAGAAGGTGTACGATCATCCTTTTTAAAATACAAATGCGAACAAATAAATATAATTTTATGATTGCAATTTCAAAACAGATCTTAATTTTACTTTTTTCTGACATATCCTACGTTAGTTACCAGTTTCTGTCGCTTTATTTCCGGGGTATAATCTACTAAATTAGAAGGACCTGGAATGTCTCTATTTGGAGAAAGTTTCTTTTTATTTGCTCCACTTGTATTCTCGATTTCTACTATCGATGATTCATGTTTTATATGTGATACGTTTGGTTTTATCTAAAAACAAAAAATGGAAATCAGTAATTTGTTTTATTTTTTTTATGTAATTGCTTGAAACAAGATCTTACATCTTGTTCAGGGCTTGGAGGTCCTGCTTTTTTTGGTTTAGTAATAGCAGCAAGTTCAGGAATGGGAAGGCAAAGTGGTCGTTTTGATCCATATGAGGTATAATATAAATCAACTAGATCACATCGAATTTTAGGATCGTGAGAGAGCATACCACTGTAAGAATAAGTTTGTGTTAAATGCATTAAAGAAAGAAAATTGAAATAAATAGCAATTAAAATCCAACATACTTAATTAAATTCCATATACGGTCGACCAATTCAGGACGATCTAAACGATGTTTATGTGCTCTTTCAAATGGTGGATTTTCAACCATAAGTCTTACTAATCTGTGTCGCACTCCAGGATGAGGATCCATTTCTATCATATCTAACAAAAATTCTAGATCTTCCCATTTACCGTCTACTCTAGTAAAGTCTACTAATGCCTCTAATGCTGCAATTCTAACATCTAAAGGAGCCATGATAAGAATACATGAATGTCAGCATTTTATTAATATATAATGCATATGTATAAAACATATCAAAATATCAAAACATCTTCTATACCTATGAATTGTCCATATGCGGCATATGCTCTGAAAAGATGAGAATTGCTGGGAAGATGGCCAAATTTTTGTAAAATTCGTATGACTTTAAGGCAAGCAACACTAACTGTATACTTATAACAAGGCAACAATTTTTCCAAATTTAAATTTCTTGTGACTTCCTCCAATATAGCTCTAGTATCAACTGATAGAGATTCAGCAGTAATAGCTGTCCTAAAGAAAAACATTAATATATAATCACATATATATATGATAAATATAATTTATTATACCCTTAAATGTTTATTATACCCTTGTTGCACGCTAATTACAGGTGTAACAGTAGCTCCAAGCGCTTCAATTAATGCAGCTCGATAATAATTATCCGAATATCTATTTTTACTATTATCATTATATTTAAATAAATCCATCAAGAAAGCTAGAACTTCTGGCGGACATATGCCATGAGCATTACGTAAACCAGCCATCGCTACAGGTATAGTCTAAAATCATAAAATAAAATTTGTAAAAATACACAATGTAAAATAATTTGTCACAAAAAATATCAATCAAACCTTTTGCAAAAAATAATGTTGGAAATTTGAGAAATTGTTCTGTTTGATTATTCGCCTGCACGAAGCCGAACCAAATAATTTTCGAAATATAGCTAACATTGCTGGTGGGCCTGCCCATGTTGCAACCATTGCATTAGCTACCTACAATAATGATTGTAATGTAAGTGAACGAGGCTTATAAATAATTTTAAAACACGAATATTTAAAATATAGATAACCTTAGTTAAACAATGCGCAGCTCGTAATCTAACTTTGTAATAACAATGTTCATTTTCTATAGTGTCAGTTAATGCTAATCGTGTAGCAGGTGTTGCATGATTTTGTAAAGCTTCAATAGCTTCTAATTGCGCAGTAACATCTCTTTCGTGTCTTAATTGATATTGCCACTGATAATCAGGTTGTTCAATTTGAACTGCACGCAAAAGTGTCATTTCAGGATCTAATCTTATCCATAATACAGGAGAGTCACTGCATGAAATAAAAATTTTCATAAATATATATTTTTCTATAAAAAAATAATTTTAATAACATTAGAGTTTGAATTGTGTATTGAAATAATACTTACTCCATAGCAGAAAGATCCATATCTACTTCTTCTCCAGTACATAATGGAATTTTCTTTTTTTTATTTCTACGACTTTTACTGTGACATGTTATATCTGCTTTTGCTACAGTACCTTCGATTTGTAAAGTATGTTTAAAAGTACCATCTAATTCTTGAATATTAACTAAGAGTGGACCAACATATTTTCGAATTCCTCTTTGATTTGTAGTATCTTGCCGAATTTCTAATTCTACCGTATTCCTATATAAAACGTAGCTTGATAAATAACTAAAATTTATACAAACTTAAAATTCAAATCAAAATATAAGTACCTTTTTCTATTAAATACAAAACTTAAGCTAAATTTTGCATGACCACCAGTCCTAACCCACTGATCTATAAAAACTGCCATATCTTTACCTGTTACAGTAAAAATTGCTTTTGTAAATACATTTGTACTAATTAACATATGAGACCAAAGTCCAGAATCAATTTTTTGTTGTGCAGCATTAGCAGCAAGAGATAACTGTTTGTTGAAAACCTGAAAAATAATAAAATTTATTATTAGAACGTTATATATTTATTATTAGAACGTTAACGAAGTTAATAATATAGTTAATAATATAGTATTTGTAGATATATGCATATACTTGTAGAAGTAATTCCTGACCAATCCGATGTTCTAGCATTCTAATGACCAAATGTGCTTTTTTACGAAGTACTTCAATATATTTTGGAGACATTGTGTGTAAATTTCTTATTGGAAAATAGAATCCGGGATCTGGGGCTCTAGGTGTAGGTGCTGGTGTATTAGCTGCGATAGGTAATGGAGCTGGTGGTTGAGAAGGATCTAATATTATACCACCAAACTGTTCTTCATATTTTACAACTTCTTGAAGTTCCTAAAAATATTAATAATGTTAAACTTTTACAAAATTATTTTAATAGAACAGCAAAAAAAATCAATTTACCGATTGTATCCACTCTCTATATTCGTTATTTCCAAAACATTTCTTTGCATATAAACCAGTTAAATATGTTGAAATACCTTTAGGTAACCATGTATCAGACCAATTTTGCATAGATATAAAACAACCAAAAAATTGTTCTGCAACAGCTTGTGCCATTGCTTTTTTCGTAATATAAACTTGATCAATGATGGCAGTCGAATGTAATAAATTTGTACTATAAATAAATATTTAATTTACAGTCATTATGGACATATTTAATATTAAAATTAATTATTTCAATTTCTTACTTTAGAATACTTATAGTAGCATATGCATTTATATCTTCATCTAACTCATCTACGAAAACTTGTTTATAGCAAGAATAAGGATATCTATTTGACAATGTTTCTTCATAAAATTCAAATGCTTCGTGCATATATTTTGCAGAAACTTTTAGTGATGGTAGTAACTGTGGCAAACAAAAATGTGTTACTTCATGCATATATGGGTCCACAAATATTTCAAATGGTCTGAAAAAATGGAAGTTACATTAAAAATATGAAACTTACTACTATATTTATTACATATAAAATTAAAATAACTTACCCAACTGCAAGTGCAATGTTTGGTGCACATGCTGGTGTATTAAGAACATAATGAAAAGTTTTTCTGCGCATATCTGGAGTATATACAACTTCTAAAAGATCACCACAAGATACAGCTGTCATAGAGTCATCAACAGTAAATTCTAACTTCCAAGTACATGGTTCTGCAAAACTATCAACGCATGGAAACCATAATCTTGAAGAATTTTCATAACTATATGTATACATATGTGCACCTCTCTATAAGAAAATTTTTAAGTGGACATTGACAAAATTAAAATTAATTTTTGTATGTAACAAATTTACTATACCTCTGCTAGTGTCCCTTCACAATTTGGTACAACAAAATGCACTCCACCCTGAGGTTGTTCCAAAGAAAACTCAATGCTAATTCTTAAACTTCTACCTTCTGCAACTAAATGTGCAGCATCTGGTGGAATTTGTACAACTAATTCTCCTGCATTGTTATCTGCATCAACTCTTTGTGCAGCTGCTAAATGCATGTTTGAAAAAAACTCCAATGATCGTCTAAAAAAGTATTATGGTGCTATAACAATTTTCCATTATATAAAAATTTTATAACTGATTTCAAGTACTTACTGTTTGCCATCTCCTTGACAGATATCTAAAAATGGATCAAAATATTGAAATGGTGCTTCATAAGTATCATTTAAACATACTCTGTATATTCTACATTGTTTTGCATTTAGTTTCACAAGTCTTAATGTATCTCTAAGTGGAACTATTGTTAATTCTACAAATCCCTGTGTGAAATAAATATTTGAAATGAGTTAAAATGAAAACAATTTCAATTAGCTGTAATAGTTATACTTACAATAATGCTCTTCCTTTGGAAGCTTATACCTGTAAGGCTCAATATTTGATGAGCCGTGTAATAAAAAGAAATGTTAAATAATAGTTGATAAAATAAAAATAAACAAAATAAGATAAAAAATTAAATAAATTTGCTTATTACTGGAAAGAAGTTACAGCTTAGTGTCAAAATTCTGGCTATAAAATTGTAAAAATTCTGGCTATGAATTTTTGTAAACATAACCTTAATATAATAATATAAAAATGAAGTTAAACAATAATGAAGTTTTTTATAGTCAATATTTTCTATAACGAGTTCTTGAGATAAATTAGGAGAATTACATAAAACTTTGTTTATTAGAATGTTAACTATAATTAATAGCTTTTGTTTACATCACAAAATTCTTGGAGATACTTATAATTTATATGGTCGGCTATTATCGGCCGTTCTTTCTTTCTTCATATTTCTACATTTAGGTAATTCCACTACTTTTTTTTTAATAATATATATTTATTTATTTATTTCGTAAAATTTAATTTCGTACATAAATATTTTTGACATCTTCACGTAGTCTTCCATGAGTGTTATAGAAACGTATAAGGACGCGATAGCTGACTTTCTATCATTGGTTAGTAAGTATTCCAAGCTTTACTTAAGAGAGCGCTGTTGCTCTTTAGAGCTAAAGTTCAATACTCAATAGTGTAAGACGAGATCGCAGTATTATAGTTGAAAAGAACAATTATTGTAGGGTATTAAAAACGTCGGTTGTGATAGTTTTTATTAGAAAGAGGTTACTTTCAATTTTTTTCTATACCATAGAACAAAGGAACACAACATCTTTATATGATGCATAGTTTCTGCTACGATTTCAAATTCTGAAAACATAGTGAATGCTCTGCCTAAAAGATTGTATCTTAACAACTTTCTTTGGAGGATATTATATTTTTAAAGAATTAAAGCATATGCGGATGTGCTAAATATATTATAATACTAAGCTGCTTGTTATAATTTTTTTCGAATGATTTTTTTAAAAAGTGTTAATTATAATTGTATATGATTGAATTATTTTCAAGTAATTTATAAATAAGTGAATACATATTTAAATTTTACAAATGGACAATATACAATTTGAAACGTAAGTTTGTATAATTGTAAATTTCTAAAGAAACAATATTCTTCAAGTTATGATTTGTATATGCAAATATATTCATACTTATTTTTTAACAATTTAGTAATTTAATGTTTATGTATTTGAAAATTGATTGCTTATAATAAGTTTCTTATAATATTAATTTGAACACAAACAATTTAATATAGTTTACTCAAAAATAAATTATTATAAATGTAAATTAAATTTTTCAGTAAAGAAGCATATGATTTAATTGATACTAATTTACCTGCAGTAACAGCAAGCTTAGAAATGCTTACAATGAATACAAATTTACCATCTTCAGAAAAAAGGATATTAAGAAAAAGAATTCCTAAAAGTGAATCTAATGAGAATCTTAATAGAAGGTACAATAATATTTATAATGATATCATAATTTTAATCAATACATAAACAAATGGTTTTATTGTACATATATTTATCTTAAATTATATTAAATTTATATATTTATATATTTATTTACTTATATATTATCAGATGCAGTTTAAAACCAAGCAAAAGAACGTGTTCAAAAATGCAAGATAACAGTAAAAACAATAAAGCACACTCAGAAGAAACTGATTGTAAAGAGTATTATTTAAACAAAAATTTAAAAAGGAAATTGAATAATCTGGAAACAATTTATGAGGAAAAAGATGATCCAAGTGAATGTATTACATATATGAGTGTGAAGAGGTTTAAACGTATGATACAATTTCAAGAAGAACCTACCGATAGTAAATTAAAGAAAAGAAGAGCAAAAATTAAAAAGGTATTTGGATCAAAGATCAGTTTTAAACGAAAACGTGCATCAATGCAAATGTTGTTAGATAAGTTAAATGGTATTAAAGCAGAATCACCTACAAAAGTTGAAAATTAGAGAAAGTGGAAGATGTCAAAATATTAAGTGGTATAAGAAATTTTTTTACCAATTATAATAGGACACAATGGAAAGAAATTATCTTCTTAATGCATCTCTATGGTTTATTTGTAACATTTTTTCAATTTTTTATATGAGTATGAACAAGTACAAAAAATAGTACTTATGATAACAAAGAATTAAAATACAACAAAAAGATTTTCAAGAAGATATGAAGAGCACTATTTCATAAAAGCTATCAATAAAATCGTGTATTTCTTAAAAAAAGCTTTTGCATTGAAATAATAAATAAAAGTTACATGTAATTTTGTCATAAAATGACATAATTTGTGAACTTATATTAATTTCTTTATTAACTTATAAAATTTTTGTTATATTAAATTATGATTATTTATATAGTGCATTTATTATTTATATCATAACATCTTAATGTATTACACAGTACTCTTGTACTTTTATTCAATATTTATTTTTATGTATTCATCAATATATATAAAAAATGAAATACATATTGAAGAGCAATAAGAAATTTTATGAATTTTTAAAATAATATATATTAAAAGACTGAACATATAAAAAAATGATATAAATGTTAATTTAAAATTATCTTTAAATGATAAAAGTACTATTATATTCTTCCTGATAAATATACTATATTTTGTATTAAAAATCATTTATAATTACATTTCAATATGGTATATCAAAATATATATAAAAATTATTACTTAGTTTCAATTAGAAAAAATACTTTCATAGATGTAAGAAATAATGAAATAATGAAATTTACATAGAATTGTAAATGTCACTATTGAAATTATATATTTATCAACTATAATACGTCTTTGTGTTTTATTAGTTTTCCGTTTTCACAGCACATTTTGTTGAAGTTTTTGGACATTGAGGAAATTCTCTTATCATGCCTTTGATTTCTTCATATTCTTTACTATTAAGTTTTACACAAGCACATCTATATTCTTTAGAATTTGGAGATTCAAATAACATTCTTGGTACACCAACCCAATCTCTTTCTATTCCTCCACTAGAGAAAGAAATATTGTTTTTAATCAATATTTAATCAATATTTTTACATGTTGTGCTTACCTTTTTTTAGTACACCATACTACAGTTCCAGAATCTGGTTTCCACTCTATATTACATGGAGGAAACATTCTTTTTTTATGCACTTCTTCAAATTGCTTTTCTTTTGCATTTATTAATATTTTTTGTACATTGTAAGATTCCTTAGTTGGAGAACCATCTTCATTATAATATCTACCATTTAATTTTCCTATTTAAAAAAACAAGGTGATGAAATAATCTATAAATACTTATTTAGCTACCAGGTACCTTTATAAATATAATTTTTATTATAAAATTGAACCCAATCATTTAATGCCTGAATTTGATGTACAGATAATGAGGAAATGTCATCTGTTAAGCTGTCATCATTAAATTCTCCAGTAATAAATGCTAAAGATGCATCACGACCTATAAATATATAAATGCATATGTATATGTATGTATGTGTGTATAGATATATACTATATATGCATGCAATAATGCATGTAATCTCATAATACCAGTGAATGCATGATAAGTTGTACCAGGACCATAATATTTTGCACCTTTTGTGACATCAAAAACTTGACCTAATATCGAAATGTACAAACCATCTTTTAAATTTGTGTATTTCTTAAGTTCAGTTGATGTAAATACTTTCTGATTTGCATTCTTGTTTGACTCTATATTTAATTTTCTATTAAGATCAGAGTAAACATTTTTGATAGCATTTAACCACTTGCTCAGAAAATTAAATGTAACATCATTCAAATAATCATTTGAATACAATAAAACAGATGCAAACAATGGTAATAACCAAACATACTTAGTAAACATAATTTTTAATAACATTCTCTAAATATTAATAAATTATTGGGAAGATGTTATGCTCGCTGTAAATAAAAAATTTAATAATGAAGAAAATGAAAAATTGACTTAACGAAATATTGAAATGCATTTCAAGGAATGATTTAATTATTGAATCCATATGTCTATTGTCATTTTTTATATAATTTTTTTTAGAGGAAGAAAAACAAATACATGCACTATATGGAAATACATACTTATGTAAATATGTGTTTGGAATAACTTCTTATTAAGTATTAGATACAGGTAGTATATAGATATATATGTATTACCTTATGACACGTCAGCGATAGACGTGCTTAAACAAGTATATATCGGCGGGCTATATAAATTTTTCTTTGATGTATTAAGCAGTTTTTATTTTAACAACAATATACTATTATGCTTTATTTTATGAATGTATGTATGTATGTATATACAAATTGCGTATTTATTTATACGTGCATATTCATTATAAATACATACTTTAAATTGTTTTACGAAGATATTGTTAATCGTATTGAAATTTTTAATTAATAAACTGTATTAGTAGAAAAATAGAAACAAAATTACATTAAATTAAAAATTATATACTCTAACTGCCCAAAGCTATCTAAATAAGTTCTATTGTAACAGAAATATACGAAGATTATATTCGACTATTGCACAAGACAAGATGAAAATTATGTTAAAATGACAGGTAAACTTAAAAGATATCATTTATACGAATCTACCTGAAAAGAAGAGTTGTATGTGTGGAAAACGTTGAGAATGAATTAAGATTACGATTGTTTAATTGTACCGGTGGAAAATGTCCTTGAGTGATTAATTATAATATAATCTTTAATCTTTAGAACATGATCTCTTTAGAATAAGAATAAGATGACGCACAGAGAGGGAAGCGGGACAATGCACGCAGGGCGGAAGTGAGAAACCACTCGTTGCAAATGGCAGACATATGATACTGTCTACTTATTTTTCTGGTATAGCAGTGGATTACAATTATTAATGGCGATATGTCCAGATTTTAAGATTGAGCATTGTCACATTCATAATTGTTGTTAATAGAGGAGTTCAACAGTAATGGCAAAGCTGGTGAATGTTTGGCGGGACGATGACCCGGTCAATTTGACGCGAAGACAAATGCCATTCATTGTCGATGAGAATCTTACGGTGAGTATAATCTTCTTTTGTCATTTTTTTTTCGTAAATTACAGTGTCTGGCTATTAAAAACCGAAAGCTCAACAGGACTTACGTAATGGCATCCCATGATGTTTCTGACTTAACCTAAGACAATGAATACATGCTTATATCGTAACTAATTCGGAGTATTATGTTTGATATTGGTGTTCTGGTTTAGTCACTGGAACTTCATAGAATCAGAGATTTTGCAGTTATTTCCGATCTTTATTTGCATTTACGCGGTCACCTTGATTTTGTTTTTCTCTTTCTGAGAAAAAGAATGTCAAAATGATTGGCTTTTTTTATACTTCAACTAAATGTTACTAAGCAAGTGTATGAGAAACTGAATGATTCATTCATAAAAATGTGATATATTACATTTTTATTGTTTTTATTTGTATAAGAAAGTATTAAATAAATTTTAATTGAGTATCTTCCATGTATTTTTAACAATTAAATAAATTAAACAAATAATAAAGTTCATATTTTATATTATTATGTTATAAATTACATGTTTATAATATATCGTAAGTTAAGTATATAATTGGAATACATTCTTAAAAGAATATTTTTTCTTTACAAGTATTTGACTTTGATGTGTATTGACTTTGTTTCAAAAAGAATAAAATTAAATTTAATCACACAATGTGATGTTTATTTTTTTATAGATGGTGATGGATATAAATGATTTAGGAGCAATTTGTGATAGTCCGTTAGTTTGCGGTAAAGAGCTCGATGAATTTATTAGAAAGCTTAATATACTTACGAAAGAAGAAATTAAAGCTTCGTTTGAAGTGACATGCAAGGATATGCTTGTGGTCTTAAGCCAAGCTGTGCCATGTGTTGGTTGCAGAAGGAGGTATTATACTTAAATATAATGTATGTAATGAATGTGTTAAATCTCTGTATTAACTAGTATTATACATATTTAGTGTTGAAAGACTATTCTATGATCTTATGAAATCAGGACATCCAGCATTAGATCCATTAGTGATTACACCTGAAGGTTTGTTATCAATAAAGGATGATGTTCTAGAATCACCACAATTGCTTTGTACAATGTTGCAAGGACACAGGTAATAAAATATATATGGATATTATATATATATTGTTCAAGTACATATATTCAACAATATTAATATTTACTATAGCGCTAGGTTAAACAGTTTAGTCGAAGGCCAACCTAGAAATAAAAAGTCAAGAAGATGTGTATTGCATTCATTAGAAATTCAACGTATGAGACCTCCTCCAAGTGCATGGAAAGAAGTATGGGATTGTATGGATCACACATGTCGTCTAGCACTTTCATTAATAGAAAGTAATAGTCTTGAAGCTACTTTAGATACATATTTACGTAAACATCGGTAAGTTTATAAATTTTTATAATTGTCTACAAACATTTTATATCGCATTTATAATTATAGATTTTGTGGTGAATGCCGTACAAAGGTACTGCTGGCATTTTCTCTGTTGACAACAGAGCCTGAACCAGAGAAAGAGAAAGGCTATGTTGCTTCTTTATATTATGGGATCAGACGTTGCATACGTGATAGACATGTACATATACCTATAAACTCATATTTCATGGGCAATCTTATGGGGCGTATACAGCCGGAACTCATGGGAAGGTATAGAATTGCAAGAAATTGTTGTTCACAATTATATTTTGAAATTCGTTTGTAAAATGATCTTCAAATTATAGGGAACGGCACGCGAAAACGTTAGAAATTGCTCAGGAAGAGGTACTTACATGTTTAGCAATGTGTGTCGCTGAACGCTTACATAGAATTCATAGACGATTAAGAGAAGAGGAAACTGTATGCAAAGTGTTAGCTGCTGTTGCTGTAGATGCATTATCTAGGAATTTCCAAGTATAATTGATAAAATTTGTAATATGTTACTGAATTAATTAAGTTATTTGTAAATGATTATGTGATTTTTCACAGATGGCTGTAGAAGTTAAACAAGGTGTTTCTCAATTAGAACTTCTCTACGAGGAATTAACAAGAGAAGAAATAGCAAAACAACAACGACGAGAGAAGTTACGTTTGAAACGCAAAAAGAAGAAAGAACGACGATATGAGATAGAAGAAAAAGAAAATACATGTGATGTATGTTACTATTTATATACAGATTTTTTAAATTTATATACTTAATGTTTCTATATAAATTAATTATTATTAGTGTTCAAGTAAAAGACAAAGTGATACATCTTGTGTTTGTGGGGATTTAAAACCCACAACACAAAATATCGATCAAAATAAGGTAAATAGATTATTATTGTATTTCTTTATTTAATTATGCGCAAATATTATGATTATTGTCTATTTGTTGCAGTTACAAGTATTAGATCCAAAAAATAAGGGACCACCTACATGTAAATGTCCAGACTGTATAAAAAAATCGAAGTCTATGTCACGACAAGAAAATCAAATACAATTAGCATTTCCTAAAAAATCAAATGTTCAGAAAAATACAATTAAAAAAAGTTCTGAACTGAAAACCAAAATTTCTACAACTCAAACAAAAAAATGTAATACATCTGTGAAGAACCTTTTTAAAGAAGAATTATTTGCATGTGAATCATACAAGGTAATAATTTAATTTGTCAATACATGCTTTAAATGTCGTACGTTTTAAGATTTAAATATCATGTTATTTTATCACGTTGAATCTTTGACGTACGTTATAAGATTTAAATATCATATATTGTATAGGATCTTTCAGAAAAAAATGAAAATGATCATTGGCACAGTCTAGAAGACTGTAAAGATTCAATGACTAAAGAAATAGTAGATGCTTGGATTGGAAAGCCAAGTAAAAGATGTAATATGTGGATAGAAATGAAAAAACGTTTCGAATTATCAATCTCAGAAAGGAAAAGTTCTTCAAGTGAACAATCATCACAAGATTATGGTTATTCGTCAGAGCATAACATCAGTAGTTCTTCCCTTCCTAGTACTCCAGAGGGTTCGGAAATAGCTTGTAGTGATGGATGTTGTAATCATGAGAGAGATTGTCACGATATACGACCATTTGATAAATTTGTTCATTCCAGTTATAGTATCTCGTTACTAAAGGAAAGAGGTGGAGGTTTAACACTCACACAAATGTTAGAAGTATGTAATTTGTTCTAATTTAGAATTTTATTTAGAACTTTACTTTTATTTCTAATATTCTGTATAATTTGTTTCTTTTAGGATTCTTATTTATCAGGCGATGAAGAAAAAGAATATATTCCAGCTGAGGAAGTATTGGAATTTAAATCTCGAATGTGCCAAGTTCTTGAAAAACGACAAGAATTGCGTCAGACATTGAGAAGACGTTTTGCTATTTTATGCAGCCATCATAAACCCTTTACCATTCCTAATTAAGAATTACTACTAGGTACAGTTACTTAATAGGATACAATCTTTCTTTTTTACATTGATTTACTGCCAGTAGAAAAAAAAAAAAAAAACAGGAGTGCAATAGATGTATTTCGTATAACTGTTGTCAGTGAATGTCAACCTTTCTATACGAATAGAATATTGTTGGAGATGTACATCGTAAGAACATGGTATGGTTTATCTGTAAGCAAAGAATTGCATCTAATAAACTAGAAGTACCAAGAAATAATTATGCCTTGAATTTTGTTGTTTTTTATGCAGCTAAATGTATAAGAATAAAAGACATTGGTAGATGAAGAATATAATTGTAAATTAATGAAATCAGACTTTATAATCAAATATTAATTCTGAAAACTGGATTAAAGGAAATATAAATCATCAAATTAACGCACAAATATTTGTCAGTGAACAGAATTAAAAGTGAGACTGATTTCCATATGTATAATTAAATGATAATTTTTGTGAATATTTATTAATCATAAAAATATGATGAACAATGATAAACTGCACGTACTAAATATTTGTATAAATTACTATAAGAGGATTTTATGTTTTTGAAAGATTTGATTTTGTTTTTGTGCAAAATGAATGTAAATGTTGTAATACTAATAAGGTCGGAGAATATTAAAAATTAATACAAAATTATGTATTATATTATTACAATCCATTATGTATTATATTATTGCGAGTTACATCTGTTTTGTACAATTTTCTATAGTAATATAATATAAAATATTTTGCTTTCTCTTTGTACAAGAGTTTCATATTATATGTTATACAAAAGTATTAAAAATATTGTTTTAATTTCAAATGTATTTTGTTATAAAAAAGTAAAATTATGCGTATGTATTTCCTTCAAATGCGACATATATGTATTGATTATGTACATTGAGGAATGACTAGTTTGGATTAAATTGTAATATTATGCTTCTTTTTAATATAATTTTAGTTTAATTATCGATTTATTCATTATATTGTGCAAAACATAAGCATGCATTTGTTCCGCCAAAACCAAAAGCATTTTTTAACGCTACGCGCTTGGAGGTTGTATTCCAATTTTTTTTTACATTAGGTACAAAATTTAAGCATGTTTCCGTATCTAGATTATGTAAATTTAATGTTGGTGGAATTACACCTTCTTTTATTGCTAAAATAGTAAAAACAGCTTCTAAGTTTCCTGCTGCTCCTAATAAATGACCATGCGCACCTTTTGTGCTAGAGATAGTCACATCTTTACTATGTTGTCCCATAAAAGATTCTACAGCTTTCAATTCAATTCCATCGCCCAAAGGAGTTGAAGTTGCATGTGCATTAATAAAAGTTATATCTACAGTTTCTATACCAGCATCTTTTACTGCTCTATCCATAGCTAATATAGCACCAGTGCCATCCTCACTAGGTGCAGTTAAATGTGCTGCATCACCAGATAAACCATATCCTAACACTTCTGCATAAATATTAGCTTTTCTTTCAAGTGCATGATTTAATTCTTCTAAGACTAGAATAGCAGCACCTTCTCCCATGACAAATCCATCTCTATCCTTATCAAATGGTCTTGATGCTTCATATGGAAAATCATTTTTGTTAGTACTTAATGCTCGAAGTCTACAAAAAGCAGCTATAGCAAGAGGACTGATACATGCTTCTGCTCCACCACATATCATTACACTTGTTTCTCCCCCACGAATAAAACGAAATGCATCACCTGAAAATCGAATGTGTTAAACAGTCAGTAAATTCAGAAAATATTTTTGGTCTTGGCTGAAACTTATACTACCAATTGCATGTGCTCCAGTTGCACATGCTGTTGATACAGAATGATTTGGGCCACGAAAACCATATTTAATACTAATTTGTCCTGCAGCCATATTGGGTAATATTCTTGGCACAAAGTAAGGACTAACTTTGTTATATCCTTTTTTTAAGGCCTCATATGTTGTGCATACATCGACTAAATCTATCATTCCAATTCCTACTGCTACTCCTGTATCTTGTTTATCAATTTCATCTTTTGGTTTCCAATTTGCATCATTTAATGCTTCTTCTGTAGCTATCAAAGCATAAGCAGTAGCTGGGCACATTGTACGTAAATCACTTTTTGTAAAATATGAATCAATATCTAATTCATTAGAGCCATTTCCTTTAGGTACTAATGCAGCTATCAAAAATTATTGAATTATACATATTAAAAATTTATTACAGAAAATTCAATAGTCTTTTTATGAATTTATTTAGGGAACATGAGAATGTATAAAATATTTACCAACTTTGCAAGGTAGTTTGTCATATTCTGGATTAGTCAACTTGGTGATACCTGATTTGGAATCAATAAGAGCTTGCCAAGCATTTTGTAGACCAACTCCAAGAGGACATACTACACCCATTCCTGTAACGACAACTCGCCGTTTGCATCTTGCAGCGGTTGTTAATGTACGATTAATACTAACAAACGAAGTAAACATTTGACCGGTAAGATTGAATATTTGGAAACAGGTTATTTGTATATTATTATATCATCACTTTTTACTAGAAACAATTCAATATTTTATATTTTATAGAAATATGTTTTATTTTCATCTTACACATAATAATTAACGATAAATACAAATATTAAATTTTGTTAAAAGAATATACAATAAAAATGTTTTTTTTGTAAGAATACACTAAACTAAAGCATAGCGCTAAAATTCACAGTCCCTAGAATTTAATGATAAAAATCTCATAAAATTGGTTTTATATGTTTATATAATAAAATCATTTATATTTATTTATAGTTAATATTTTGTGGAAATAATATAAATTATTTAACATGTATAATACTGAAATATATATGTATATATATGTACGTATGTCTTTATATAGTATACGTATTTATAAGCAGATCGTTAAACAATTTTCTTTTTAATAATTATTTGAAATATTATTTGTTAGATATTACATCACTGTTACAAGATATATATTAATTTATTTAATTATTGCATTTGTATTAAATATCATAGGGGAGACTTGATGATAAATTTTAGGAACATTTCATTCTGTTTCAGGAGCAGTTATAAAAATGTTTTTAATGTACAATATATAAACTACGTACTACTTTAAATTTCTAAATTTTTTCAACCAACAAAGATCATATAATTAAACAATATATTTGTTCAAAACTCTTATTACTGATAGTATTAGAATATTTAAACAAACAAGTTACCTAACTTATCTTTAGGAAGTATATAAAAGCTATTTTATTGATTATTGTATTAGTTATTATAGAATTTTTATATTATCTAACTGTACAATTAGAAAAAGATTTAAATTTTTTGATTTAAAAAACTTTGAATGTGATTGTACTTCAATATGGCGAACCGCGACAAAGGACGCAGAAAGTGGGGAGGATTTTTACAAGGTACCTTGAAAAAAATTATATCACTGAATAATATAAGTATCTTAATTTGTAATCCCGTGATTATATTTTGCGTGTACGTAATTAATAAACTATGTATGCCCCCTTTCAATTCTATTGGGTGCATTTACAGAGTTAACCTCACCAAACAAGCTAACCTAAAAATACAGCGGGAATTATGCTGTGATATGTTGTGAAATTTAACCAGAGTAAGAAGTAAATTTAGCATATATTATAATTTCTGTTAGATTTTCTTAGAAATTCTAAGTTTATTTTAAACAAATGAAGATTATATAACTTTTATTTCCGATTCTCATAGATTGATAATAATTTTAGTTACTGTCAAGAGTGTCAACAAGCATTATTAAGTTATTGCATTTAATAGAGTGTTGGCTAACTAATAGCGACGTTTAATTTTGTAAATAAGTAAATTTCTGTAATTTAATATGCTAAACATATAAAGACTTCAAATTATAGATACATTATACATATAGCTTCAACTACAATTTGATGAATTTTGTAGTAATTCTTTATGACTTATATATGTAACTTGTATATAGAGTACTAATGTCTTCGTAAACAAGAATATTGTATTTGTTTATTATTCAATTTGTGATATAAATTATTTTTTTTTCTTAATATTATCACCATTGTTCAAGATTTAGTAATTTTAGTATATTTTTTCTCAGATATATGTTTTAGTCTAAATAGTAATATTATTAATGGTAGTGTATGTCAAATTTCATTTATTATAACGCTATACATATTGATAAATATTTATTAATTTGTAAAGTTCAAAGTTAAATATAATTGTATGTTTAAGTAAATTTTTAATATGTTAATATTTACTATTATTAATAATGAATATTTGATGAATTATTTTGAATAATAATGAATATTTGATGAATTATTTTGAAAGAAGTGAAATTCTTATATTTTCAGATAATTCAAAATTAGAAAAGGACAGATCAATAGGAATGCGAGGTGGAGGCAATAGAGCGTCTCAAGCTTTATATAGGCCAGGAAGTGGACCCCTTCGAAAATCAGGAAGATCTACAGATGATTTAGATAATGAAAATATCTCACAGGAGAAATCTAAATCAAGTTCCGTCCAACATCGCTTAAAGCAGTCACAGCTCAATAAATCCAACCAAACTCAAAATAGCCCTCCCTCATCTCAAATTGAAAATGTAACAGAAAAATTAAATGATCTAAATATTAACTACAAAAGCAATACAAACATTGAACAGGCACAAGGTTCTTCTCAAAATAGTAATATTGGAGATTCAAGAAGAAAAACTAAAAAACCAGAACAACAGTTATATGTTCCTAAAAAAGTAAAAGAAGCTTTGGCTGAACAGGATGTAACAAATAGGTGAATCCCATAAAAAATAATTTTGTTTTGTTAATGAAAAAGTATGGATGAATAAAAATATTATCCTTATCCCTTAGATCTCCCAATCAAGGGGGTTGGGATCGAGATCAAGAGAGAGAGCATAGTGAAGATCGTGATTCTCATTCCAATCGTAGTCATAAAAGTGATAGTCAACGTAATCGATCGAGTGGTCATGGTAGAAGAGATAGTGAAAGTAGAAGTAGAAATCGAGATGAGCATGGTAAAAGATATTCCGGCAGTCGTAGAACTCGCCACAGTAATGAAAACGAAGAACGTTGGCGGTCCGATTCTCCTTTATCAAGCAGAGGATTTAGGAAAGATAATTCTCGCGAAGTTAGACAGGTCTGAAATAATATATGAAGTAATATTGCATTCTGTAAATAATTTTTTCGTAAAAATAATTTACAATATTTATTTACTCAGGGTTCAGAACCTCTTTTTGTAACAACGAATCATTTAAATGATTTTAATCGTACTAGAGATACACGTAGCGTAGAACCTACAATACATTCAGAAAAATTTCAAGGCAAGCCACCATCAGGCAAATGGGGTGGTACAAAAGATAGTTTGCCGAAAAATATAAAAATAGAGCACCTACCACCTAGATTACAGAAAAAATATTTTTTGGATAATGGCCTTCCTTTACCACCAAGTTCATCACCTTCTGAAGATACATGGAATAGTAGTAATGTCTCATTCCAGGTAAAATTAATATTATAAAATTTAAATAAATTTTATTGAGTTTTCTTTAATTAAATGTAAATTATTTGTTTAAAGGCACCGTCAAATTATAATTTTCCACCTGCAATGCAACACTCACAAACGATGCAAAATTTACCTCCATCTGGTCCATTACCTCCACAAATTAATTGGTCTAATACAGCACCGCCACGAACTAGAGGTAGAGGTAGACTTAAACCAGAGGATTTAGAAAGTTCAACAAACATTTTTAGGTGTGTTACACCTGATCAGTATTCAGCTCCAAGTTCCAGATCTCATACGCCAAGCCAAGAATATATGCAAAGGTACATGTTTCTCAAGAATTTTAATTATAATAAATATATATTGTATTTTGTTATATTTTTAATATTGCCTTCATTAATACAAATAACAATAATAACTTAATATAACTTTTATATTAAAAATAGATCTTACGATCGTCGTGGCAGTAACAGTACTATGTATACTAGTATGGAAAGTTTAAGTCGAGTAGATAGTTCAATGATACCACCGCCATCATCAGCATCGCCTGTTACTTCAGTGTCCAATGTAAACAAACGTCAAACATCGCCTGAAAGCCATCGTCGAGGAATTTCTCCATCTGCAACTTCTCATCGCATTCAAACGTAATAATTATTTATAAATAATTATTTATTTTTTAAGTATCTTTATTAATTGTTTTTATGGTTCTTTTTAAAGGCAACGATCTAGCAATACGTCTGAACGTAACACAATACAAGAAAAGAAAAATGATCAACAAAATTCAAGCGTTAGTCCACCAAAATGTGAATCTGTCAACACTGCATTAAATACATCAGCGGAACATCCATTTGTAAGTATTTTATTTAAAATACATTTATATGTACTTATATGTCATATGTATACAATTTAAATTAAACATATACACAGGATTGGAGCGAAGAAGTTGAATTAAGCGAGAAACTAGAAGCTGAGCGTGCAAGTCGTAGTTCATCTGTACTGAGTTTACGTGAAAATGTTAATGTATCAGGAAATGAAACTACAAGTAGTCATAGTCGACGTAAAAAAAAAAAGCGTGAAAGGAAACATGCGGCAGATCGAGGGAGGTAAGAATTATTAAAATTTATATTTGAAGTATATTATTTATATATTTTATAATTTACCTGCGAGGAATAAAAATTAATTTTTTAATTTTTGTCAAGGAGTAATAGTAGAGATAAAGCTCGTGTTAATAGTCGTGATCGACAAAATAATCAACAAAATAGAGAAAATGACAACTATAATAATAATCAAAAGAACAGTAGGAGATATGATCACAGAAGACATCGTAATATCATACAGCGTAGCCGAGAATCTAGCAAAGATAGAAATTATCGTGGTGGTAATCGAAACTTTGATGATCTTCATCGACATAGGTATCTACAAATTGTTTTAAAATGCTTATATATTTTATATCGTCTAAGTTAGAAATTAAAATTATTATTTTATTGATACGTGATTTTCAGAGCGTCTGATCGATATTTAGATGAAAATTGGAGAACAGGTAGAAAAATGTCAGTTTGTGATTCTGACGATGGTCGACAAACACCTAGTGTTTCTTCACATTCTGTCTCATTGTCAAATGCTTTGACAACACATCCAACATCACCTAGTGGATATACTGGTTCTCAACCACCGGGTGTTTTAGTGTTACCTGATACTAGCCAATCTCCACCTAGCCATCAAATTTCAAGACAACAAGGAGTACAACAACAAAGAACGTTATTTGATCCCAATAACCCTAATAAACCAATAGTTATTACTTCGCCCAGTAGTAGAGCAGCGGTACAAAGGTACTAATATATAAAAAACATTAATATGTTTTGTTCTTCTTAATTTTTTTATTAAAGGCAATAAAATTAATCGATTTATTCATTTTATTATATTCAGAGAAAGTGAAACTATATCTCAAGGTTCAAGTATACCAGTGTTTCAATCCCATGGAGGTATCACCTCCACCCATCATAGTTTTCAGGGAACACACTTAGATGGTGTGTCACCACCATATATGACAAATGACCAATTTGGAAATATAAGACCTTCGTGGTACGATCCTTATTCTGATAGGTACGTAAACACCATACATACATTGAAAATTATGAGTAAAAATAAAGAACGTTGTAGTTATACTAATAATTTATAACTTTTCGTTTGACAGTTTCCGAGTAGCCAAAAATCCTTACTTACTTTTGGATATAGAACGTGCTGATTTAGAATTGCAATGGATATTAAGCTCTGGTGGTTTTACAACAAATTGGGAGAGAGTTTTGTACATACGACACTTTCTACAAGAAAGCTTAAAAACTTTGCTTGAGACTGATATTAAATTTTGTCAAGCTGAGAATGTTGAGCAACACTTTTGGAAAATACTTTTTCATAATATGATTGAAATGCTGCGAAAAGGCATGCCTAAAGAAAACTCTGAAGGCCGAGAACATTATAAAAAAATCATGTTAAAAATTATCGACGATGGTACTGTATATTTAGAGGGTTTGTTGACTGTTCTTGAAACCAAATACGAATTTAAATTGGAGACATTTCTTGCATCGCCGACTTTGCCTAAGGGCCTTGGGATCTTAGGCTTAGCCTTAGTAAGTGCGCAAAAAATATATCTATTTTTGGGTGACTTGGCGAGATATAGAGAACAGGCAAACGAAACAAGTAATTACGGAAAGTCTCGGCAGTAAGTAGGAAATAAATAAATAAATATTATTCTATTGTATATATTCTACAAAAATAACATAATTTTATGCAAAATTTAATTCTTTTTTAGATGGTATTTGAAAGCACAACAACTTAATCCAAAGAATGGAAGGCCTTATAACCAGCTTGCTGTACTGGCACATTATGCTGTACGTATTTTCACATTACGTACGACAAGTAAAAAAGAAAAATAATAAAATTGAACAACTTGAATATGAATTTTGATTACAGAGACGGAAATTAGATGCCGTGTATTATTATATGAGATCTCTTATGGCATCTAATCCTTTCATGTCTGCGAGAGAGAGTTTAATAGCACTTTTTGATGAAAACAGGAAAAAGGTAAGACGAATATTTAAATATTCTCTTATACGTTTGTATTAATACTAACGTTAATAATATTTTGATTTTGTTTTGCTGCCAGTATCTACATTATGTAAGTAAATTTCGATACTTGGTGTGATATCTCTAAGTACCGGTTATCTTAACTAAAGCTTGAAGTAGTTCTCTTTATCTTCGAGCCGTCTAATATACCTTTGTTTTATTTGCATTGAATAATTTTTTTCTTATAAATTTTCTTTACGCATCACATGCCTCTTCGCACGCTTATGATTATTAATTCAGTGTATCAAAATCAGTATTTCTCGCACAATCATAATAATTATTTAAAAAGCAAGTCATTCTATGCTTAAATAAAACTGAAAGCGTAATTAATGATTTGAAATGATAGAGTGTTTACAATAAGAAACATATTTGAACTTTTTTTTTTTTGAGTATGTTGCATTTCGCTGAATTATTTTTGATAAATCAAAGCACCATTTCTGTTAGTTACGAGCGCTGTTTTCGCACATGATACCAGCATGAGTATTTTTTAGATAGATGCAGCCGAAAGATACAAACATTTAATTAACAAGCCTTTTTATGCTTCACACATACGGTGCTTGTATCTTTCATTAGTATTTGAGAGAATTTAGATGTAATAGGATAGTTGATAGGATTTCCATGAAGACAATGAACCTTCATTTATGCTATGCACTACGCTGTCCTTAATTTTGTAACAAATTATGCATAGGATTCAATTGTAATGTTTTTTAACAGTATGAATCGACGGAACGGAAACGGAAAGAGGAAAGAGAATGGAAGGAACGGGCCAGGATGAAGGAGAAAGAAGGAGCAAACAGCATTGGCGGAGGATTGAGGAGGGAAATTTGGATTCATCCTGGTGGAAGACGGGTTCGTCGTACAACTGCAGCCACTGCCAATGAAGCGAGATTATCTCATAGTGATTTAGAAGAATTGGCACAATTAAGCAGCGTTGAGGTAAAAATGACACGAACCAAAAGTTACTTCTTTTTCAATCAACACATACTTTCCTCTTTCATGTTCTACATAGAACTACAAGATAAATCACGTTTCAGTAATATATTTTTGGATCTTTAAATAAACCATTGAATTTTTCTATGTTTCAGGTGAATAAACGGTTCGTCACCTCTTATCTTCACGTTCATGGGAAGCTGATCAACAAGATAGGGTGAGTGATTATATTGTTTATTACTTTGAACGTTTATTAATTTAAATTGCAAAAGTCAAGTTGTGTGTATTATTGGAAAGTAAAAGACGTGAAATGCGTTTGTCACATACAAGATAATTATAGTTGGAACGCAAATACATTTGAAAGAGAAGAGAGGAATTATTACTTTTTCATCTCTCTGTTCAAACTAATATAACTCGGAGAAACGACGTGTAACTTCTCAGTCGCATTTTTTTTTCTTCACCGCACTACGTTTAAATACACGGTGGAGAGTTAACTGCGGGTTTGCTGTGTTTGTTCAGCATATTTCCATGAAATGCTAGCCTGTTTTACCGCGTATTCTGCGTTTCGAACGTAAGAATATTAGACTCGTGCTCGGACTGTTTGATTATTTCGTCTCTGATTTTATTCTATGAAATTTGCGTGATTTTACGTGTTTGAATTCACGTGAGAAAACGTACGAACATCATGTGTTCTCGTTAGACCGTGATATTAACCCCGTGTATTGTCGTTCGTTATGCGAACAAAGTTTTAATGGCTCCCAGAAGAGCTATAACGGGAGGGGATTCCCGTTTCAAAGGGCTCGCTGTGTAGAACTTTGGTCAGCATACGATCCATTATTAATTGCACCGTAGAGGTTTCGATACTGTCGATAGGTCGCTATTAATTTAGGGAAGTTATAAAGTAGAATTACACGCTGACTGGATACTCTGCTCGTAACATGATTTCTTTATTAATTCGTTACACTTTGAGCTTTGAGACGTTATAAAGTTTGTGTTTTGAAAAAAGAATTTTCTTCCAAATTTTCTAAAATTAGTTTCTCAATGCGTTGATTACCACATGTCATTCCACAGAACGATGAATTACTTTTTTTCTTTTGAATCAGTTGAAGATCCTGGGCCTTCAGAAAATTAGTTTCGCATTCATCTTCAGCTGATTGAAAATTGTTTTTTGGAAAGTGCCTTTTCATCAATATAAATATTCCACGTTACAATGAAGTTGCAATGAATTTAAATGAAATTTACCGAGAGAAAAGAAAAATGACAAAGTAATTACTAAATCTTTCAGCAGCGTACGTAGAATAGCTTTTTCGATCACAAAACTATTTGACTAGGTACATAATCGTCTAACTTTATCGCATTTAGCTGTATTTAGCAACGTTAAGAAATCTTTGACCTTTGAAAGGTGTTCGTTCCTTTTATTATTTGCGATTTTATTTAGAAATTCCCCGATGCTTTTTCTTCTCCGTTTTATTAGTCATCGTCGTCGGCAAATAAGAAAAGGAGAAGCGCTCTGGATTCAGGTAACATTAACCATTGGTCAGTTATGCATAAAATTTACTCTGGCAGATGAAAAAGTAGCCTGTTTTACGGCAGTTAAGCTTAAATGAGCATCGTGCGAAGAAGCCGTGCTCTGAATTCATGGAATCGCATATTAGACGGCAGTCCCATCGGTATGTGTAATTGTCGGGCTGTAACATTCTGAAAACTGATAATGGTACGTCTTGAGGCTTAAGGTGCGCGTTAGTGGCAACATATGAGAAATTTCTCATGAAATATGTACATACGTGCGTACGGCGAAGCAGCGTGGCTTTGAAGCGAGATGCGAAACATTTGAAACGAAACGCGAAAAAAAGTCACCTCACGTTAAAATAGGTAGGCTCGAGTAAAACGTGTTCGAGTAAAATTAACCGCAAATACCAAGGTGTTGAGAGATGTAGTTACAAAGTTATTGGCTCGTCGGTGCGTGAAAAACCTGCACCGTTTCACAAGCTACACGTTTCGAATCGCAGATATAAATAGTTTACGTCGTTTTATTTTTTTTTTCTTACTACCGAGACGTCGGTAGACAAGTCGAAATTCAGAAAAATTGCTTTCACATTTTTCTGTTTTTCTTTTTTTTTCCTCGAACGGAGGAACAATCTTCGTCTTACAATTAATTCATCTTTCATTTCGTTATTCTCGCGAAAAATTAATAAAAATCTGGTCCGGTGTGTTCGTCAAGTTCTTGAGCCTTCCTCATGTCTTAAAATTCGCATTAATTATTTACGTGCTCGCAATTCGTAGTACCGGTTTGCCACGCGAAAAAGTTGCGCCTCTCTTCCCTCCCCCGTTTCGTTTACGTTTTCGTTTCATGGTAGCTACCGGCTAGCACGTCGCGTCCGCTCGAGAAATCGATCTCGCTTATGCAGGTTTGCGGCGTTGAGATCACCGATCGACGCTGTCGCCGATAAAGCAGCGAAACGCTTGGATACTGTTGAAAATAGTACGATATAGCTAGCGAAAGGAATGTAGGATTTAACTGATCTATCACGTATTACTATTATTATTATTTTTATACGCTAGAATGTGTCAAAACGGTACGATTCGTTAGATTTTATGGACAGAATCTTGTACACTCTGTTTTGCGATTTTGAAACGAATAATTGTCCCGAAGACTTTTGCATTTGTATTTATTCATATTTTTTAATAATCTTCGAAAGATTGGATGGCATCCATTAATAATAATTTCCACAAATGAAAGCAACAAATTGTCTCCGTGCTCCTAGCTGTGTACACTATTATTATATATTCTTATTATATATTAGTATATATTCTTTATACTTCGTCAAATTGTACTGTAATGTTATATTTTCTACGTTACGTATCTACGAAATTACAATCGGAAACTTTTATCTCTTCGAGTACGTTTACCTTTCACGCAAGATTTCTCAGCCACTCGAAATCGTCGAATTAACAGCTCTTAGAGCCTGAGAGTCTATCGCACTCTGTCTGCATTAACTTTGCACGATACGTAGTCGGTGATATTTTGTACGCGAATTGTGGATCAGGTTGCCAGCCTGTTGAACGATGCGTTCAGAACGACAAGCCAAAGATGAAGAGGGTGCACGCTCGACACACTTCACCGGTGGCCGAGTTGATGGCGCGGTTGACTGGCTGTCCGACTGCCCGACATTTGCATCTCGTAAAACGCCGCGTACCCTCATCTGCGAGTAGGTGATATCGCGTAACACACGGAAGCAATGAACGGTTCGTTGCTGCCGCCGGCAGTGACAGTGACCCAATCCTTCGTTTCGTTTATTTATTCCTTTTGATCAACGCATCGTGCACCCTATATTTATCTTTGCTCGATATTTGCTCTTGAAAGACCGAGAGATCGATCGAGCTTGCTTGCACTTTTTGCGCGAGCGAATTCATTTAGACCTGCGCTGTGTTCTGTATATGCTCTCTCTTTCTCGTGCTTTCTATCTTTTATTTATTTAGCATAGTATTTTAAACTTTATCCTCTGTGTTCACTGGTATTAGTTCACTGATAAATCATTACGCAAGATGGCCTCGGTTATGCAAACCGATCAAAAAAAAAAAAAAAAAGAAACAGTGCGTCGCCGGGTTGGCCGGCGTACCGTTAGAGAGGAAATCGAAGGAAAAAGAGGGTATCTCGTCAGAAGATCTCGTCGTGTAATGGAGAGCGAAGGCGATACCAGCTTATTAAACGTAATATTCCGAGCCATCGCGTTGCCTCTCGCATGAGTGATATTACGAGCTTCGTAAGAGTCGCCGTTGCACGTAATAAAAAGAGCGAGGTAGCTTGGAAAATATCGGCCCAATAATTTTCAGCCAGCGTGCGCCGATAGCTGAATTCCAACCACCGGAGAGTTGTTCGTAGACGAAAAGGTGATATGACAAAGCTGCGGAAAAAACTCCGCGAACGAATGGAAAGGAAATTTGACGTAACGATAAGCAGTACGGTACAATCTAACGCCAATAGAATTACACGGTCTTTCGAATTCAGTCAGTTTCTCGGCGCGCTTTTTGCTGAAAAGTTTCTCCCCGTTCCCACGTGTACGTGTGTGAGAAACGAGTCTTTATGCACGAGCGGTAGCCACCGATGCGCTTACGATTAGCAATCCATTGCGCGCATAATCGTAATGAAATGTATCCTTTCGATTCTTTCTACCTTTTTCTCGGCCCCGTCCCTCCCCCTCAGCACGATCCTCTTCCCATCGGTGCGAAGAGTTACTCCACTCGATCGAATGGGATGTACGGTCTCGTCTCGTCCATTCGCGCGGAGGCTTTACTCTCTCTTTCTCTCTCTCTCTCTGTTTCTCTTTGGATCGCTGAGACCCTGTCGAGACTCACCGCGTGCCGTGTGCGGTGGCCACGTACCCCGGCACGTAACTTCGTGTTTTCTTGCACGGCGGTAAAAATGTTAATTGACAATTGCGTGGCGCCACTGGCCTACCGTCCCTATCTCTCTCCCAGGCTGTTGCACCTCGTGGTGGCACCCACCGCCCGTTTCCCTACGTACGTACGTACGTGTCTCGCGTACATCCTCGTTCAAAATCGATCTGGTCACGGTCGGGGCGCGCAGGACACTGCGTTTATGGGAAACATTGAATTTATGGGAAATTTCGAGCTTGCTAAAAGTGACAATTTTCAGTTTACTCTCTCTCTCTCGGTAAAAAGTTGGTGACCATTTCGTATCGAAATAAAGGCTCTCTACCCTGCTTTTACTTACTAACAAGTAAATAACAAGTGTAATAGTAATAATATCTTGTATAGTAATAATAAGTGTAACAGTAACATGTCTCGTTGTGTAAAAATAGGTATGACACTTGCTTCTTAGTTCGATCGGAAATTACGGAAAGTGGACTTCGTCCGATCTGGCATCATTTCAACTTTCTGTTCTACAAACGTGTAAAAATAATTTCGATCGGCAGTCTACCGATAACCGAAAGTATTGCAGGCGTCCCGGCGCTTTTGAACGGACGTGTACTTAACCTAGGTGCGTACTTACACACGTAGACACGCCGTGCATCCGTGTGTATCCGGTGTTTCGTAGTCGTAACGACCTTGCGGGTGCCTTGCCGATCGTTTAATTGTAGCGATGGCAGGACGTGAGTGGCACGTCATACGCGATAGTCGTAAAATCGCTGTCGATATTCAGCGGTGGATCCGCTGCTGGCGCGATTTATGTCGTCCCCCGTGGCAAAAAGGTGT